AGTTGATAAGGTTTCATTATCATTTCCGTAAACAAATCGAAATAGGTGTTTATAATTAGACAAAATAAGATTCACTATATGAATCTTGCCCCCAACTTACACTCTAACTTTTTCTCGAGTATAGCAGGGGGATCAACACCCAAAAAGAAGTTATTTAGTGCCTTTTGGCAAAAGTTATGCTCAAAAGTTCGTATATTAAAGTGTGTTACGTTCTATTAAAACCTAACTCCCAACTAACCTAAATTAATATAACTTCTATATAAAAACAATAAAAAAAAAAATAAACAGTACACTAGAGGCAAACATAAAGATAATAGCTTAGCAAAAATAATGGCATTATTTTAAACTGTCAAAGTTGTAACCTTTTAACGGTTTGATCGCATCCAACTGTGGGGCGTCCTCTTTTGGAGTTGTTGTTACTTTCGACAAAAACGTAGTTTGAATTTAGAGACTAAGAATAAATCTTGTTTATAGATGCAGTTATGATTGAAAACCTTAGTATTTTTAATTAGATTTTAAAAAAGCTAATAAACTAAAATATTATCGACACTCAAATCTCCTTTCGAGACAAACAAACCCCTAGGGGTAAGGCTTAGTAAATGAAATCGCACACAATAGTTACGCAAAGAAAGGCAAACGCTTCTTAAGAAGCTTCTTATCTCCTTACCGTTCTTTTAAAAAAGGTTTCTTTTCGCAACCAATACCAGTAGTTTTCTTTTTGAGCAAGCAGAGGAAGAGAAATGTTTGAAAGGTGTGGGGACGTCTACCAGTTACGACTGCTGCTCTTTAAGTAGCTTGCGAAACCAGTATTGTGTTGAACATTCTTCTTCAAGCTCGCAACACTGCTCGAATAGATTGTTATTGAGGCAATACTAAGTTAACAAAGACTTATTTTGACTGGTTGTTTTTTTATTTTAAATATATATTCCCTTTTATGATTTACTTTGTCTTACTTTTCGCAGAAAAATTTATAGGAGACCTTTTAGGTTTTTTGGTTTTTGTATCGAGCAGCCAAAAAGTATTGGAAATAGATCAGTCTTCTCACTATAACTTTAGTAGCAAGGACTATTTATATAAAATAAGAATTTTTATATATATTGGTTTTTTCATTAAGTAATAAAAACATTAAATTGGAACATTATTTGGGATGTACACGTTTGTGCGCTTAATTTTAATTTTATATAATAACATGAATTATTCTTAAATTTATCTGGGACTTACTCTGGGTTGGCCTCCGTTGGCTTAAAATTTAGTTTTCGATTTTAATTTTTTTTTTCTTTTATTACTTAACTATTATATTTATTTATTCTTTTTTAGATTTTTGATATACTACGGATTTAGACTTTCTAGTTTACAATGATTTTTCGGCTGAATCCGAAAGTGAATTAATCACTAGAACCGCTTAACAAAAAAAAAATACTAATTCCCAGTCACTTTGTTTGTCAGTCACAGTTCACCTTTTCTTTTTGCTCAACCATATATTATTAATAACTTACCTATTGACTTTCAGTGCGTAGGGAAAAGCTATTAACGAAATCAAAAAAAGTTATCATGTTTTCCCATTTGGTTATTACCTTTTACAAACTTAATTTTTCCATAAGTAGGATCCAAATATTTAGTTAACTTTTGTTTGAAGCCACGCCGAAATAATAACTTTAGTCTGCTCTCTTGGCTCTTTTAATGTAGCTGTTTCGACTTGTAAAGCAGTGGTGTTTTAACCCGGAAAGTGTTAGCGTTACAGCGCCTGCAGATTTTTATAAAGAAAAGCTTACCGCTTAAAAACTGTATTAGATTTTTTTAGGATTTACACTTTATCTGGTGGTCAAAAGTAAGCAACCAACTACGCAGCTTTGTTTTGCTTATTATTTTTTAGTTGAGAATTACTTCACGACAAAAAATATATACACCATCATCTATATTTTAGTAAAACGTTAACACGCTTCATTGTCAGTACGTCAATTAACAAGACAGTTTACTTCATTTTCTATAACAAATTCGTGTAACAAAGAAATAAACACGGAGCTCAACTCTACTTTTCGACTTTCAGGTTTCACTGCTTTTGATTGTGTTAATTGATGCCAACAAGGAAGAACATCTAAACTATTTCCATTTATTATTTCAATATGATTTACTAAAAGTTGGAGGCACCGTTTCCATGAATAATACTTTAGTAACCACAGCCAGCTTCTGCTTATACATATATAATTCATAATAGCTTTTTACTTCTAATTTTTTAGTGGAATTTTAAAGTTCCAAAGGGAGAATCTGGTGATAACATAGAAGCCCTTCAAAAATTTAACAGGTTAGTAACTGCCGATCCAAGGTGCAGTTCTGCTGCTTCATATCGGGATGGATTACGTTAATTAGACGTAACCACTGAAGTAAATAGTAAAATATATAAACTATTAAATCTTTATTTTACTGCCTTTTATATAATACATGGACAAAGTTGTGCTGTCAATAAAATCAGATTAAAATGGGTGCATCTGAAAAGTGTAAGGCCTGTTAGTGTTTTATATGCAATGGATTTTGTGGGAAACTAAACAAGTATGAAAGCGTGATAGTGCTTAGTATCAATATTATTATAACAAAGCAGAAGAAACATAATTGATTATAGCCAAGAATCCGGGGCTTCGTTCCCATTGCTCAATATTAATAAGTGGATTATGAGTGGTAAGTAACCCTGATTTCAATTTTAAAAACTACTTGAGTGCTGTTATACTAGAGGTACTATAAACCGATAAGGTTTTTAGTATGTGAAAGAACGTAACCTCCCTATTATGCCATTGCAAACCACTGACTAGAATCACTCATATTCTAACACCAAGTTTGCCAGCGTCCTAGTCAAACGTGGCCCCTAATATAAAAGTATAAAAAAAAATTATAATATATCCCCATAATTATGACAATATACTTTTATATGTCAACTATTTATAAAGTACGACCACGTATTGATGTTAGGCTCAGAACTAATTTATTATTAAGAAAACTTTTTTACCAATTTCGACCTTATAATTCATCATAGTCTCCCCTAACAGCGATACAAACAGGTCAAAGCTTTAACAGCATTTCTACATCTTTTTCATAGAACGGTTTGTCTTTGCCTTCGAAATAGGGTCTCTGATTTAGGCCAAACGAATTTCGGTTTATCTAAATGTCTACAGGTAACCGAGTCAAGCCTTGCAAACTGAAGAAGCTAGAACAAACAACAAACTCCAGCAGCAGTTCCTTGCTCTATATATAGTATTTCTACGATAATTTAGAGAAACATGAGCCAATTATCCCGAGTTATTCCGCCATTAGGTTGTCGAATTTTAATCAAACTTTAGTAAATTTTTGTTTCCATTATTTGTGAAAACACAAGAGGTTATAGGAATCATTTTTAAAGAGACATCCAAGGGTCACTCCCAAGACCTTTCAGGCCTGTATTTAATTAAATTTTCTAATAATGTTGCGTGAATGCATAACTTATCACTCGATGTAGGCATTTGTACTAATCTAACATTATCATTTTTAACTTTAATAGCATTCAGTTAGGTTTCACTGGCACTGCCCAAATTTAAATAATTCTGCGTCTATCTCGTTTTTTGTCTAAGTTTTAAGTTCGTGCCTAGCCTTTATCCATATTTCGTTTGTGTTACAATCTGGTAACGTGTCTAGGCATTGGGCACTACTTATAAAATTTTATGGAGCCCGGGTTGTTAATACACATACCCTCCTTTTATTTACTTTATTTTAAAAAACCTTTTCTTTATTAGGTATGAAATTTTGACAGTGGGCTGCCTAAATTATAGGATATAACTGTTTAACAGCTTAAATTGTTCGGGGTCCGTTATTTACACATTAAATAAAGCGAATATCAAACATAAAAGGTTTACAACGGGAAATGCTTCATCTTTATCATTATAAGCTTACTTTTATTTATTGTTAATTCTAAACCCAGCTTAATGTAATTATAGAGCCTAAATTATAAATAATAAGGGGAGGGGTGGCTCCAGAAATCTTTTATGAATTACTTCGCACTACGCTTGAGCGTGTACGTTGTTTTAAGGTGAATGGAAGCTTAGACAGAGCGTAGAAGAAAGTGTTAGTTTTATACCACGCCATTATTAGAAATGGTGATATAACGGTGCGGAAAATCATTTAATAAGATATGGGGTTAAACCCCCTACTTAGGTAAGAAAAAAAGAAGAACGCAACTTACTGTTTATTACATTTCCCACCACGCCAAAAAGTGGGCGCCCTCCTAAAAGAACATAATATCTTTTATTCAGGTATCAAACCCTAACAATGTTTGAAGAAGCTGCTACAAAAAAACGTTTAAATGCTTAGGGGACGGAATAGACCATAGTGCTTTTACTTAGGTGTACATGAACCTGTAACTAAAACGGTTTTTTTTAAAGTATCTAGAATTTTTTTTTTTAAAAAGGTATTCCGTGATGAGAGATATCTGCCCAAAGAAATAAAGAAATTAACGAAAGAAAACAGAAAACCCTTGGTAGTTGCTAGTAACTTTAACTGAAAACGCTCTCGTTTCTCGTGTCTAAACCCTGCAAGTTTTTATAGCTCATCTAAGAAGCTAGTTAAAACCAATTTTTAAAGCGCAGTTGTAGTTATGGGTCTGAAACTTTTCATTACCTATCTCTTTAATCTGAATTTAGAATGTGCTATCACCAACTCCTTAGATAGTAGAACCTAATTATTTTATTGTAAACAAACTTATTTAGTACAAAAAATTACGGGTCTGATGAAGGTTGAGGCGTTCAGAACTACGTTACAAACGAGTACGATAAAAAAAATTATAAATAGCCGTGTAGGGCTATCTTTCAAATCTATTAGGTGTGTGTCATTTGGATTGTTGGTATACAGTGAAGCTTTCGTTAACACTGTGTAAGAAATTTGCTTGCGTATATTAGATATTATAGCTTTCAACTAAGCAAAAGGGGCAAGCACTTAGAAAGTGAATAACAAAGCTTAATTTAGAAAGGCGTCAGTAGGGCCTACTTCTGCACTTACCAATATCCTCTCCGATGTATTCGTGAGTAGATCAAAAACTACCCCGAATTCGCTTTCAATTATTATTTTATTTCTGTCTTTTCTTTTAAAAAGTTATTTCAAATGTCTCTTAAGGTCGTTTATTAAATAAAGTTAATTTTAAATATATTTATTATAGTCTAACTTGGATGTAACTTTGTGCTCCCTACTTTTTTTTCTTACTATTACTAGTGAAGTTAAATTTTAAGACAGGAGCCTTTAAACAACTTATCAGATGTCCCTGTCTATATATCTCAAGTCAGCAATGAAGTTGGAAAAGGTTTATTTGCTTCTAAAACCTTCAAAGCGGACGAAATAATTTTTAAGGAAGTTCCTTACGTTGCTTATCAACACATTGATAATGAGGTTGTTAATTTTTCCCTCCCTTATATTTAATTGGTAATTTATTTTTTTAAGGAACTTTGTCTAGTCTGCGATTATTGTTTCCGGTTTGTTGGTAATTTTTGTTGTCAGGTTGCCTTTACTCTTGATTTTCTATATAACTTGATTTGAGCACTACTAAGCAGGTGTTACACCTATTAAAAAATATTGATGTTAATGTTGAATTTCTTGAGTTGCAAGGCAGAAAGTATGATGAATTTTATACGGAGTTATTTCCTTGCGGTCAGAAATATTCAATAAATTATATTTTTGAAATGTTTAGTTTTTTTATTAGAAAAGAGTTGCGGTGCTATATATTGCAGTGAAAGCTGCAGAAATTCCGCTGCGGAAGTGTATCATGACCGTTTATGTTCCGGTGAGTGGGAGGCATTTGAATTTAATCCAGTACTTTTGCTCCGGCAATTTGCTAAAGGCATTTACCGTTCATAAGTTTATATTCTCTATCTCTCCTTTACTCAAACACCAGTTTTATAAAATTAATAATAGAAAACTACTTCATAGTCGTAGATGGACGAAGTAATTAACGTTTATGAATAACATTCGTTTATTCGCTTTTGTTTATAAATATTGTGTAACTTCATTAAAAAAAGTTTATTGTAAGGTATAATATAAAAATTTATTAGCTAATATAGTCAAACAGCAAAAAGCCATCTAGTTGCGTTATCCAGCAAGTTCATTATTAATGAATAAATAATTTTTTTGTTTAGCTTATAAATTAATGTAAGTAGGATATTGAGTATATCAAGTTTTCTCTAGTTCTTTATTTTCCTTTATAAATTCATATTTATTTTTAAGTATATACTTTAAAGTATTTTCTTTTATTATTCATACAAAATATACTTATAGACTTGTTTTAATTTTTAGAAACCAACGATGCATTCTATTTAGCTGCCAAACTTTGTGTGATGCTTGTGAAGAAAGCAGAAAAGCTCCGAAATTTTGAGTTGGCTGTGCAGGAACTCAATAATTTTATGAAGAGGCCGTGGTGGAAAGTAGTTTTTTTTTTAATCTATAAATTTATTTTTCTTGGTTTTAACTAATGTCTTTGCGTCTTATTATGTACATGTGTCAACTTAATTTATTTTCTTTCAGCGGGTTTCTATAAATTATTTTGTGTTAGTTTTATTTATGTTATCAAGTACTTTGCCTAAGTAAGAAATGTTTTATGTTGAGATTATTCAATTTATAGAGGTTATATCAATGGTTTTTTATTTTTTATTGAAGTTTTCCCGAGATTGTATTATGCACTTATATTATTAAAATCATTTCTTTTTATTATTGTGTAAATTTAGTTTATAATAAAGAGATTTTTGGTTATAAAATTTGGTGTAAAAATTTGGCTGCTTATTCAAAAGCTTTGTAAGTTAATAATCTTTTTTGATGTTTCCTAATTAATAAGGACCCTCTTTCTTCTATATTCGTAGATGAAACTTTTTTTATAATTCACTACTTTTCCCTAATTTAGATCGTCTCGGGCAGAGCCGATGACAGTTACTTACGTGGCGTAATAAAGAGTTTGTGTAGTCACTGTGCAACTTTAGTACGAAATTGCTTGAAAGAATCTCCTTATGCACTACGTAAGCTTTTGATTATTATAAACGTTTTATATAGTATAGCTTTTTAAATTAATTCAAGTTTTAAATTTTATTTTTAGACGTAGATGGAGAGTTAATTAGTACTCTTATGGGGATTTTTGAAATCAATAATGCTGACTTGGTCGTCATCAGCCCCGTCAATAAAGTTATTAACTCGCGAGGTACCTCTTGACTTCGACACTCGAACCTTTCAGAAGTTAATACCGTCCTTACTACGCTAGAGGAACTTGAGCCGCTGGGTAGGCTACTTAACACATACCTCGCCCAGCGTTCGGGAAACACCGCCGCGCAGGACGACCGGCCGCTGGATCTCTGCTGCCAGGGAAGCGCGCTTTACTCTTTGCAGTCCTCAATGAACCACTCTTGCGCCCCCAATGCTGTTCTCTTTAAAGTTCGCCTTGTTAGTAATTATTGGCAGAGCGAACTAAGCAGAGTTCCCCGCTGGGTCAGCGCAGACTGAAAAAGACCTAGACGGTCACGTGGTGGTCCGCGCTTTGAGGTCGATCCATGAGCACGAGGAGATCCGGATCAGCTACATCGACGAGTCCCTCCCGCTGGAAGAGAGACAGCGGGCGCTGGAAGAATACGAGATTTTCTGCCGGTTTGCAAAGAAATAACGCAGGCTCCTCGCACAATTCACTCGGAAGTCTTTCTCGCAGATGTCCTCGTTGCGAGGATGATGCCGCTCTACGTTCCAGCTGCTATGGAATAGATGCGCACTCCGGTTGACCACGAGCACTTCTTTAAAAAAGTTTCCCAGTTTTCGTTTCTTTAACAGTAAACGAGGGTTTTGTTAAATATTAAACACATTTCTAAGGCATCACCACGTTTTATTCGTCAAACTTTCATGTAGTTAATACTAAGAGAAAGTGAAAACTGAATTTTACTTTTAATCTCTAAAGTGAAGTATAAAGTGCAAAGCGTTAGACAAATATAAATATATGTGTCGGCGCCATGTTTTGTTCCACGCAACAGTGCACAAGCTTTGTGGGCACAAAGATAACGTAAGCACTTGCGTGCAGGGGCATCGTACTGCATTGTATAAGTTTAGTCTGTGGCAACCACCACTTTCAACTGTTTTTCACCATAGCTCAAGGAATTTACTAGAATAGGTCTTCCTAATTTAAACTTGGTAGAGAGTTAGTAGCTCCTCGTTTTAGACTGTGTCCTTGTACTTGAGACCTCGTTTAAAATAATTTTTTATCCTTCCTTATTAAGGTAGGGAAAGTGCATCGGAATTTTTTAACTGCCAAGCTATGGTTATCAAAAGTTGGATTAATAGAGTTGGGTTTCTAGCAATGTAATATAGTATTAAACCTTTTGACAGTACTGTTATCTCGCTAATTTCCAAGGACTTTCTGCTGTTCTGTTTGGTGTTACTAAGCAATCTCACTATTGGAGATTAGAGCGTCTTTACAGGCCTAGGCGAGCCGTTACGATTTCTACTCAGTAAGGCTCAGCAAAATATTTACTGGCAATTGGTGATTATATTTTTTAAATTCATTTAGGGGTATAATGTGTCAATAGGTTAATGTTATATGAATTGTATATTTGAGCTAATGGAGTAATTGGTTAGCCCTGGTTAATAAGAAACTGTCATTGAAGGTAAAATTCGCGGATGCGCGTGCACTAAAATTCTATTAATTTATAATCCTTTTTAATAGGCGTACGCAGCGTGCATAATTTTTCAAGCATATAAGAGCGTGAAATTCTTTACTAAGGGTAACGCTAACAATGACTCAGTAAATTGCCCTTCGTGGATCTTTCTGGAGCACGCATAGCGGTAAGAATAGGAGTTAGTGACCTCTCTTTTGAGAAACTTTAATGTTTATTCACTTTCTATACTTATAAGAATATGTTCATAGGTAACTTATTAGTATAACACTATACCATCGCTGAAATTGACTATATTAAATTAAAATATGTATATTTTCAAAACTGTTTAATATTATTTAATTTAAGTTCCTCTAAGTTATTACGTTACACCTAACCTTCTTAGCGCTGACAGCCTCTAAACACTCAAGTAACTAGGCAATTTTTCTGTTATATTTATTTCAAGTATACATTTTAGACAACTTTAAATTAGGCATTCGTTAATGGAATATTGCGCTCGGCATGGGAGCAAAAAGAAAGTACTTATAGTTTTGATGCTTTTTAGACCTGAATTAATTGCAGAGGTTAAAATTAGTCGGACAGAAAGAGCTCGTCTTAATGAATTAGCAGTAAAACGGTCTCACCCACCTTGTCGACCGCTGACAGTAAATTGATGGGTCAATACTTGCTAGTTGCTGATTCCGGCTTAAGTGTCGTAAGCAGCTTCACAACGGTCGCTGTCTTCCATCGAATCGGCAGGCACAAAGGACCATCGCAGATTTTAATAGGTAGTACAGATCTTACATCCCTGTTAACGGCATTTCCTTCAGCATCTCATTAGTAAGACCATCGGGGCCAGACGCTTTTCATATGGGTAGCGCTTCGAAAAGTCGCTTGAACCTCGTCGACATTAACTAGTTAAGCGGTGCGTAGACAGCGGAAAGAGGTAAGCTCTGCTGTAGGAGCGCATCACTGGCAGTTAAGCGAGCAGCTGGCACGTTTTGGGTAGCAAGGAGACTAGCGAAAAGCGTATCTTTGTCCTCATCACTCTCGGCCATTAAAAAAAATTTCCTTCACGAAGAGGCAATAGTGGTGCAAGTCCCTGTTTTTGATCTTTTAACTTTCAAAGGAGGAGGAGCGGTTGCTGTTGCACGATTCGGATATATGATGCAGCTTGACCTCCTATTTATTGTTAAAATGGGCTATTAGTTTCTTTCTTAGGCACCTGTGCAGTCGATTAAGCGCAATTTTGCCTTGGCGCTTTGCGACAACATGGCCTCTCGGATAAAAAGTCGACGTATGGCAAATAAATGCCTTTAGTTCGTCAGGCAGGTGAACGGGGAGGTACGTTACATCACGAGTGGTCGTGGTAGTGCGAGCCATGTTCAGTGCGCTTTCCGTAAGGCGAAACAGAATCCAGCAGGGCGGGTGTAGATGGTGGTGACGGACACGGCGGTGGAGTGGAATCTCAAAACTCAGCATATTTGTCCCAGTTGGTAAAAAGCAGGGATAGCCCTTGGTGTGTCTTTCTCGTCGCCTAATTCGAGAATAACCGGAGGGTGATCGGACAGCTCGTAGAGCGCTTCAATTGCAGTTATGAGGTATATATATTTTATTATGGTGGTATCCAGTAAGCCTAAAAGTGTGTTGGTCGCTGGGGAGCTAGTATGCACAACCCGTGCCCATCAGTAAGTCTTAAGGATAGGGCCACTCGAATTATCGGCTTGGTTGTCCTCGAAGGGTCTTTGCAATTAAGATCCTCGCACAGAAAAGGCGTCCAACTCGGAGGGCAGGGAGTAACTTCCAAGTGAATTTTGGACAGCGATCACAGACAAGGGCCCCAGGTCGGTTATACATAGGGAAATTCCCACTGCCTCGACACTTTGTAGAACTGGCAGAGATATCGAGTGAAGCTGAATGCTCCGTTTAACCAAGACAGCTACGCCCCTCGGCTGCATGCAGCGATCCGGTCTTGGCAAACGTAATAAAGTTGCACAGTTAAATGCAACGTTAGGAAGGAGGCCCCTCTCGTTGATGGCGCACACATCAATTCTTTTACCTTGTAACTACTCCTGAAGTTCATGCTTTTTACTCTGAACAGCAATTGCATTCCAGAATAATAGTCGAATGTAGCGAAGCGTCTTTGGTTTAAAAACCGTTGCAAAAAGATTCTAGCCCTTTCATAGTTTCAATCATTGTAGATAAATTCGCCGTATGTCGGCTGTGGTTGCTGCTGTTGGTGGTCAGTTTTCGCAATAGAAGCGTGGCCAGGAGCTTTAGAAACTTACGTGGAAGGGGGCGAAAGTTGATGAGTTTTGTCTTTAAACGGGACGTTTAAGAGACAGCCGGAGTGACGGTGTTGTTTGTAGTAAGTACCGGCGGAGTGGATATTGCGGGTTGGCCGCCCGCCTTCCAAGGTTAATATTTGTAGCCTTGACAATTAGAGGTGTGCGCATCCGCAATTTGCACGAGTACCAGGACTATCTAGAGCTTTCGTGCATAGGGCTGTCTGGTGGCCCTTGCCGCATTTAACTCATCGGAAGGCCGCAGTTCAAAAGCTTGCGATGTGCCCAAAGGTTTGATAACGATGGCACTGGCCAACTCGATTACTCTTTCGAAGTTCCTCCACTCGAATTTGATGGTAGTCCTCAGGCCTAACCTCCTTTGTCTCTCAATTCTGGGTGAATGTATAAAAACTACTGGTAACGAACTCTCCTTACCTTCACCACTGACGATGTCCTCCTGTGCATTCGCTCAACTTGAAGGGAGGTGTGTCGTCCTAAGCGCTCAAATCCTCCTTAACGGTTGAAAGACAGAGTTCACAGTAAATCCCAGGCTGACAAATTTCAAAGGCTTTCCTCAGGTAGTTGATACGTAAAGAATTGATTCTCCTGAGCCCGCCTGATCGCTGGTATAGAGCGGTAATCGTTAGCTGACATGGGAAATATCTTGATTCCAAGGTGGTTATCGGTTATCTCTATATCATGGGATATCTATGCTGTTGGTTTGTATAAGTTGAATTAGTAAGGGCCTCTTTTTTTTCTCATAGAGTAACAGGAGGAATCTTTCTTTTACGAGATCCCGTTACATTAGATCGTTCATTGTTCTTAGGAGCAGTGCCAGAAGCTCTACCCCTCTCAACGCCTACGCAGTTCTGTAAAGCTTTTACGGCTTTTCAAAGTCTTCGTAGATTTCACTATCCTCACTACTCTTATTTAAGCTATTATTAGGTATATTACCGTTATGATTATCACTAAAATTTTTACCGCTGGTGTGGTCGCTCTCGGCTATATTATTAACTGAAACGCAATTATGAGAAGTATTAATTTTATTGCCGTTACTTCTACTATACTACTAAAACCTACTTTATCTTAAAGGGTTTCGTTTTTGGTTAACTGAAAGTTCTCGGTTTCTTCTAATATTTCAAAAATCTGTGGCTTGATTTAAAATTTGGTAAAGCCGGATAAACAAATATTAGTCAACATGTCAACAGGCTCCTTTCGTTTTTTAGACTTTAGTTTATCCTGAGCATTTATAAATAAAAATTGTATTGGTAACTGGTATTTTACACTTATTATACAAGAACTGCAGAAGACCTCAACGACTTTGGATGCCCCCGTAAGATCTAAGCTGATCTAGAGCAACCTATTTGTCGAAATGATTCACTAGTTAGTACGCGGGGTCAGTGCACAAAGGGACCAATATAAAATGTTAGCTACATGTTATAATCATTACTGAACGAATAATTTAAATACTGCCAGAGCAACAACCTCAATATCCCCGAAAAAGAGCACGTCTTTCGGTCTAGACTTCAGTAGATCCCCGATTATGGGGCTGCAAGGGTCGTTTAACTGTATTGAAATTTTATGGGAGCGAGGTTAAATACGCAGTCACTAAAGACGAAAAAAAAGAGGTGGAACTTGGACTCATGGTCTTAAATATAGGTGTCAACGCTCTTAACCGCTAAGCTACGACGACAATTGTTAATCCCGATATAATAGCTATATGATAACCTACTAGAGGGTACATAAACTCGGAAAAGTCAGGTAAAAGTATATAGGTAGGTACGTATACATTTCAAGGTCTAAAAGGGGGAATGGTATAGGAAGCTGGCATCAAGCATTACACTGTTCTAATTTAATTATTAATAAACTCATGATTTCAATAACTAAGTTCCCTTGAAAGTGTGCAATTGTAATATACCAAGGAACATTAGTATTAAAATTTAAGAAAATTAAACAAAAACATTAAGGAACCCGCTATGAACCCCTTTAAATCTACTATATAAACAACTATCCTCTGCTTTATAATTTATCGAAGTATAGTGGGCATTAATCCGTCATTAATCCGTCACGCTAGATGTCCATCCTAGCCTGGATTAGACGTGGAGTATGGTAACCTGACGACTTGGTTTTGGTTAGTAACCCTCTATAATGATTGGGGTCCTATAACCTTAGCTGAAATTCCAAGTAAGCTTGAGTGAATATCTTTATCTTAACTTTCAAAGGAATCATTACAAGACAGTCATTATGAATATGGTTGACTTGCTGAGGCTTGAAGTTATTAAGCTCCTAGCGTATCTAGGAGAACTTAAAGTTGCTTTACGCATGGTTCGAAATAACTTCTCTTAGAAATGATAAAACATTGGACAATGACAGACCTGTGGAAAGTTTATTTTCATCTTTAATCAGAAAAGGTTGGAATCATGGTTCAAGTTAAACTTGAGCTTTTGCATTCAAGATTCCTGCCTAACTGCACTGTTCCAGATGACTACCGGTAGTTGGTCGTCTGTTGCAATGAACCGTCATTGGGCTAAATAACTTTGTGATACCTAATTGCTGCTATTGATATACTACTGCACAGCCTGCGCTATGATTCTGATCTCCCTACATTGATTCCGCAGGTCTGTGCTTTTGTAAATGCACGGGCTAAGTGATTTAAATAAAGATGACTTTGACAGAGGTGAATTGTTTCGGATGAAAGCCATTGTTATCCTTTGTGCTTGTCATGAGTGGTACGTAAACAACGCTATTTGTATCAATTCTAGATACTATCTTTTATATATAATACTTTATTTATACTTGAGTCAAAAATCTGTATACAAAAGAGTACGGTTTGACTAATCTTGATTGGCTAACCAGTAGCTCTCTTCTCATATATATGAGGTTACTAGTCTAATAAAACGCAAGAATAAATCTTAGCTATTGATTAATTGGCTACTCATTAAGTACGTGTATATCTTGTATACATTGGAGCCCTGTTTAAAGAAAACGAACATACTGGGTGCTGCTTAATCATTCATGTAATTCAATTTTGTAATTAATAATGTTTTATGCTTCCGTTTGTTGGTTTTACTCTGAGCGTCATATAACTATACTGCAGATATCACAAATAAACTCCTCAGGATAATCACGGATGCTTCATGGTTATGCTTAGTTACAGCGTGATTGCCAGATGAATACCAAAAACTTACAGGTGACGTGTAAATGCTATATAGAACAGTGAGCCCTCCAATAATTTATTAGCCGCTGCTGTTAGTTTTACCTAGGTTTAAGACTTAAACAGACTTTAAGTTCTCTTCCTTCAAGTCTTGATTTACCACCCTAATTGTTTGTTGTTTATTTATATTTAGTATAATTTAACTTACACCCTCCCATTTTAATGATAAATAAAGTTGATATAGATAGTAGATAAAGGAAACATCTAAACTGTTATATCAATAAGCCTAAGGCAACCTAGATATTATTTTTAATTCAGTTAACTAAAAAATATAACCTCTATATAATATGTGTACACGTTATTATATTATCTGGTTATTTATTTAATGAACTTTTTACTTACCTTATATTATTCCTCCTGATATTATAATGTAATGATTTTCTTTATTACCGTTGTTCTTCTCATAACTTGCCCATTGACTGGTACGCAAACTTTGAAGATGTCAACACCATGAAGGCCTGGCTCCTTCCTTGCCTCTCTTAGAGTTTAAGAGGGAAATAAGGATTAAGCAGTAAAATGTGCTATGCATATCGGTTGTAGTATGTCAGTAATATATAAATAAATAAAAAATAAATTAATATTCTCTCCTATTTAAGTTGGTTAGAATGCTCTTAACGTGTAAGGCAAGTAGCTAACTCGTCTTAGACTGTTTCCGGTTGTGTATGTACAGCAATTCAATACCCGTTATTTCCCCCCTCTTATATAACATCCTAGTTATAGAAACTATAGTTTAACTTTAAAGCTACGCGGAAAGGAAGGCTAGAACTAACATTTTACACAAGGTTAAACAATTTACTTTTATTCTTGTATATAAAATTTTTTCTTTTTTTTTGTCATGACAAATTGCTCTATTTTTAATTTGATACTCTAAGCACATAAAGTGATACAGAAAGAGAAAAGCAAGATAAAGTCACTTTATATTTAGCTTGCATAACAACAAAAGATTGAATCCCCTAGCTGTCAAAGCCTTGTAGATAGAGAGGTCCACAAATTTAACCTTAAAAGCTATGAGTTTGTACGCCAAATATTAATGCCTTGACTTTTTTTGAATATTGGTTGGTTTTTTCTAGTAATCTCTTGCCAACCGCATAACCACTTAAACCTCATTAATCATATAACCTTACTGGGTTAGTCTAGATAATCTCTGTGGTGTCCTTTACCTTTTTCTTATTGGTTGTAAGGACACTTGTGGTACTTTCCGAAAATGAGAAGTTATTTATTTAATTGTATTTTTATATCAAAATATTATTAATGTTGTTTAAAAAAAAAATTGCATTGCTTGTTCAGTTTGTGTCGATTCAACTTAAATTCACCTGAATTTAAGTTTAACATTATAACATTTCTGTTTGGTAGAAATCGTACTTTTGATTGGCCCACTTCATGGATGAATTTTCAGTGTTGGATTTATGTTTTGTACTAAATATTGTCTCCAGCTACGAACACTGGGACATAGCACGCTATTTCCGGTCACAACATTCTGTATGAATTAGTGGGGTCGGGCCCACTCGTACAATACCACCTGTTAAGAAATTCAGTGTTTTTTTTGACCCTCATCGGCATTAGGAAATACTCTTAACAAAATAAATTAATGCCTCGATAGAAATTATAACCCTGCGCTTTCAATTAATAGAAAACTTTGGTTCTTCTCAAACGTTATACATATATATTCCTATATCCATAAAATTTTATTGGGTCTTAGTATAGTACCTGTATCCGAATTTTATCTACTTTGTGCGATTTTTAAGCTTCTTTAACTAAAGAGAAAGTTTAGACAAATTTTTGTAATTAATTTAGGTAATCTCTCTCCTAAAATAGCAAAGACAAATTCTTTTTATAGTTAATTTAAGATAATTACATTAATGCAAGAACAAGCTTTTAAGTTGCAATAAAAATTAATTTGCTTTTATGGGGAGTTGTGAATATGCTAAATACATTTATAATTTTTCTTAGGAGGATTTTGACTTCTTTAGTTATACGCTCATAATGGTATGCGTCAGAATTTTAATGGCTCACCAAACCAATAAAGCCTTATTTTCATGTTTGAAACATCCCTAGAGGCTTTTTTTGTAAATAATAATAGCAGGCAAAATTTATAGGGATTAGTATAATTTTTTAGTCTTTCTGCTGTTCTTTAAAATAACAGTGACTAAAGGAACAAATCTATTGCTTTTACTTTTGTTATTTTGACAGTTAAGGCGTTTGCCATTTGTTATTAACCCCATTCGCTATGACGGTAGTTAATTGCACTAAAAGAATATTTATGATTAACTAAAATTTGACTCTGGTGACTCAAGTATATATAACTTGGGTAAGTGTACATACACAAAGTAGTTATTACAATAAATGTTTTGCAGTTCACTAGTGCTATATTTTGCAATTTTACTCAGCAAATATGTATTAACTTTAGAACGTTGTAAAGATTTTAATAGAACCTTTACACTGTAAGTTTAACTTAGTGCTTATAATTAAAGATTAAGGGAAGCTTGGTTAGGTATTAAGAGTGTAAACCTTAACAACAAAATTAATAGGATCAAGTGATATAACTTTCACAAAATTTTTAGTTGTTTTTATGTAAATGCCTATTATTAATAAGGGTGCAGTTTTAAGTTCATTTGTTATAAAAAGGAATAGGAAAAGAAAGTTTTGTAGGGAATGACCATTATTTTGCTTTTTTATGTAATATGAAACTACTTTAAAACTTGCTTATATTTATTTTATTTAACCTTTTTTGTCTTGTATTTTACCACTAATTATAATTTTTTTTTATTAGAGATTTTAGTCATTGTTTACTAACAAAGCCTCCTACCGCACCTTCAAATATTTCTTTAAACGCGTTTTTTTTGTAAATCTTGCCTATGATAACAGCTTATATAAATAATTTTTTAACTTTGTGTGTTCCCGTTAAATACAGAGTTAAGTCAATAAATTTTTATTTAATGCAGTACACTGCTTAGAGTTTAAGTGCATTCGAGAGATTTTTTTCTATAATCGTGTCTTTCTTATTGAGTAATATCTTTATAATATATATATTATATAAATTATAGAAATCTCAGATACAATAAGATAGTATCGGTTTCTAAAGAATCATTTATCGCGCTAACGTCTCTTCGCTCGTTGTAAGTTGCGTGGCTCTAAGTTTTACCGCTAGAGAAATACAACTAACGATCTAATTAATCTTGTAAAGTTTTTTTGCTTTTATTTTTCCAACTATATTACTTTTAGAGTGTTAAGTAATAACTTGCTCACCTCGCTCGATCCTTCCTGCTTTCGAGGCCTTTCTAACCTTCGATATTTGTAAGTCTCCAGTTAGGTACTGCACTTTATGCGGTCTTATATACTCTTCTTAAGAGACTTGAGTCGAAATAGGCTAACCTCGTTAGAAGAAGAAGTGCTTAAAAATCTTACTAAACTTCAAACCTTGTGAGTCTTTTTTTATTGCGGGTCATGTAAAGCTCTTATTTAAATAACTTTTCGATTCTGATATATATAAAAGAGAAGGTAGATTTTTCGCCTTCTCTAACTACCTTTTTGTATGAAAAGCTTCATAAAACATTTTTTCGGTTGAAAAGTTTAAAGCATTTTTATTAATAAAATTTTTCGATTTTTTTATTTATTTATTACAGTATATACATTATACTTTCAAAATATTTTTTTTTAATTGTTGTTTGGAATAATTAAATTTTATTGAATTTTTAAAATCTTTTTTTCTTTTACGAGTATTCAATGTTGACTTTGTTATGAATAAGTAAAGTTGGGCAATAATATAATTTGGGTGCAGGTATCTTGATCGTAACAGGCTCCAGTCTATTGCCGCCGGCTCGTTTTCGGCTCTTTCGGCCTTAAGCAAACTGTAAGCGGCGCTTTCGCTACTGCTCACGTGATAAGTTTTCATATGCTACAAGAGATTTGGCTTTCAACTTGCTTTCTGTCGTAAACTGCGAACTACTCGGGAGCCTTAAGAACTTGGAAGGCTTGTAAGTGCGCCTTCCATGCATCCTTTCGAGGGATTATTAACTATCTGCTTAGAATACTCTATAAAAATGAAATTAAAGTAATTGAAGCGGGCTCCTTTAGAATGCTTACGGCTTTAACATACTTGTAATTTTTTCAAGTGCTTTGTTGTATATCCTCTAAACCTTATGCTGGGTCATTATCCTTAGATCAGCTTGTGTAGCTTTCTGTATCATAATGTACTGCCTTATAGGTTTTTTATAAGAAATATTTATACAGAGAATTACGAGGCAATGCCATAACTGAGATCTGGCCGGACGTATTCCCGTATTCTTTTGATTATAAGAGTCTGTAAGCAGCGTTTCTGCTCGTTTCGACGGAAAGTCCTTTACGGCATTGGCACATGCTTTACAGGAAAATAACCCTTGACCCCACACTCCTTTGCTGGTCGCGTTGGTTTTACCACGGAAAACTCTCTTTCGATCATGATTATTGCACGCACCGCGGAGAAATTATACCTTGTAGCACTTTTGCCGTGGGAGTAGTTGCAGTGGATGAAGATACAATGGAGCCTGTAACAAGTTCGGAAACACCTTTCACTTAAGAAATAAACTTATATATTATTTTTACTGAAATCTCTAGCATTTAGGTTCAATCTTAACATGAGCTTATATGATAAAGCTATGAGGCTCGGGTGAAACAAATATCTTAAACTAGGAATAGCTATGAAACCTATGTATTGTTTACAAAGAAAAGTTAAAAAGTTATTTAAAACTATAGTAGATAAAGTTTAGAGGCTCTCTTTTGTAATAGATAAAGCTGACACAAAAATTAGAATGAAAACTATTAAAAATAGAAAATAGACCGGAAAAGGTAATAAATAATTCAAAGAAGTAATATGAAAAGCGAGAACTTCTCGGTACCGCCTTACTTTACAAGATGCATTTAACTTTAATCGAGTACCAATAATTGGCCATAGTTGAGCAAAATTGAATACTTCTAGATCTACTTAACCACTATATAAGTGCAAACTTTTATAGCAGCTACCTTAAGTTAAAATAAATTAGACCTATGAAAGTTTTTTAAATTGGGCTAAAGGTTTAATAGGGTTACTACTCGATATTGTCTTAAATATCTCTAGCCCATGCAAATACACATGTTTACGGAAGGATAACAACTCTTTAGCATGATGGAAATGGACAGTCGAAACACTATCACAACGTGGGTTTTTGCTAAGCTCCACCCAACCATCGGACGACTCAATAATAGTTTACTCCACTTGGTAAAAACTTTGCAAGATAGGTTAAATATACAACCCCTATAAATGGTGACCCGACTGGGTTGGTTTTAAAGATATGTTAACAAACCCAAGCTCCTTTAAACGCCGTACGACAGGGTTTAGGTTATTACAAAACTTTTTTATTCGTACTTGTTCTCCTGTTCTAGTTACTACCTTCAAGAATTAAAATTACCAACTTTATATGAAGTTTTAAAGGAGGTTAAGAAATAAAGTTGCACACAAAAAATTCCAAAGCAATTTATCTAACGAGATAGATTCTCTATATATATCAACTTTTTAGATATTACGCTGAGATTATGAAAAGAATATTGAAAGTTTAAATTCAAAGTTAAATTTTCAACAAGATAATAGGACAGAATCTGGCAATTGTTTTAGCTGATCACTTACTACTTTTTTAATATAATTGACGCTAAAAAAAAGGGGTGAACAATCACTTATTATTTTTAATGACTTCATCAGATGCTCGGTAAATTCGAGAGCAGACAGCGTATTTCCGCTAATAATATGTATTATTTGGGTAGTGCGTACTCTCCCTTTAAAAAAAAGGGTATTTATACCTTTAGGGCGAGTAAAAAAAGTAAAAACCTAGGACTCTAGGTGGCCTGCCTAATTCTTGAAGGTCACCTCTTTTGGTAATGATTACTAGCAATTCTCCGCCACTCTAGGTCGAATGACGGGCGACCAGGCTGGATATATCTCCGCTACCGCTACCCCTAGTCCATCGAGACGGTCGTTGTACTCCTTCAAAGGAGTGCACTGAAAGGCGTACGTGTCCTTATCCTTCTTATAAGAGGGGGATTCCTATTAAGCGATTCAAAATCTTAGCACTAACTGTAGTATGGCAATATTAACAAAAAAAGTAATTCAGTATGTGGGACAAGAAACAACACGTGGGTTTACGTGGAAATGAATAGAAAAACATATAGTATGAGTGCATGATTTAGTAGAGTTAACTCCAACGATAATTAAATAAAACATACTGTTAAAAAAAATTAGCAGCTTTTAAAATTTCTCAATAAATTCAGAAAAGTAACTATTACTCAAAAAAAGTTATAAAAATAAGAAGCCATAAGTAAAAATATGTATTAGAAGAGAAATTCAAAAAAAATTTAAAGCTTCATGCAACACAAGGATTATAAATAATAAACTGTTAATACGGTTTAAAATACTGAGCATAGTATTTATGCTTAAAAAATAGCAAGTAAAATCTATTTTATTTAAAAAAAAAATTTATTGTATTATGTAATAAATTTGTTTTCGCATTAGACACAAGCTTTTATAATAATTAAAAAACTTTAAAGCATTAATTACAGATTTATTCTATAATGTAGGCTAGAGACCATTAAAACTATTCGTTTGTTTATAAGGGCAAGATAACTACGCCACAGAATCACTCAATACTTTTTTAGAGAAACGTCTATAAAAACAGGTAACCAATCCTACTCACCCTAATAATTCTGGTTGCTGATTTTAAATGAAGGTCTAACTATGACTGCATATACAATAATACTTAATATTATACATCATTTCACAAGTTTAAAAATTAACCATCAATTTATAAGCGTTTTCAAATAACGAATGTTATTTTGTTATTTTTATTTCTTTCTTTGAGAACAAAAATTAGCTCCTTAGATTTAACTAAATGAACTAGAAGAGGATCACTTGGATAGTATGGTAATTCAAGCGTGAAAATATCACTTAATTGTAAATAAAAGGATGTAATAACCAACCCTTTTTTTAAATAGAACTAAAGCATATATATAAAAGACCCAGCTCATAACTGAATACATTTAATATAAATATATAAAGAATGTTTAACTTTATTTTCTAAAAATGGGGAGAACAAAAGACATACGGCGTCTTTAATCACTTTTATTGCGTCCACGGTTATTTTTATAAATAAGGAAATCTTGAATATGTGAAAAAAAAATTTAGCAGAAACTATTTTTTATTTGAATATAGTCAATTGCTTCCCAGTTTTTAGTAATAAATTATAATTAGGAAATAATTTTTCAAAAAAATTTACCAAAAATCTATTTTTAGTTATTCAAGGAAATAAAAATTAAATGTTATTTTACTTTTTAATAGAAATGCCCACATGACTAACAAAGTGGTATAGAAACTGATAAATTTGGTATTAAAATAGTTCGAAGTAATTAGAATAAGATGAACAGAATTGCCAGGTCCATGGACAATGATATAAACTTCATTAAATTTTTTAATGCCGGTGAACTTATGAAGAAATTCTTGCTCCTAGAAATGCTCTTACCTCGACATATAATTTATACAAATAATTTTTTAGCTCACGAATGGCTAGGATCAGACATCAATTTACATTTTTTAATATTTTGTTCCATAATTTAATGAGTTACTTAATGCACCTTTTAAAGTACAGATAATCATCTAGCGTTCACGAAATTTAAGCGCCTCCACGCCCATACTTACCTGATGGATAGCCAGTAATAAATGTAACTTTTTATTGCAGAAATAACTAATATTTATATATGTAGTGGTTAAAATAAATCTAATAAAAACCTAAAAAAAATCCCATGTACTTAGCGCAAATGATTTATACTAACTTATTATCCCAAGAAAACGTTAAAATACATTGCCTAGACTATTAGTTATAAGGTTTCAAATATTAGGTCTTTCTATTTTAGCTAAGAGAGGCTTGCGTTATGAGTGATACGAAATGACACTATGGACAGTAATAAACGCTCGTCTAGCGTTCTTGGCTTCTCGCACTGACCAACGTGATGGTAGAGCGAATTAACGTCTTTTGGCCAGTGCCGGATTAACAGTCTACCAGCCATAACTTTACTTCAAATGCGACAAACTAGTTGCAGTGCCTCATGACCGACCTGCCGTGGTGAGTGCGGATCAGTGGTTTCCCATAAGACTTTCTAGGGTTTCTAAATAGTCTTTAATCAGCTTCCTTTAAAAATAGCCAAACGAATCTCACCGATCGTCTGCTAGCGTTTGCGATATTATTATGGTTTAAAATAGAATCAAAGGCCAAAAAAAAAATAGTGGGTAGTGATTGTGTAAGGAGAAACCCAAATTAAACTTAATGTTATGCTACTAACCTTTCCAAGAGCTTAAATATTTAGAGTTTGTTAATTTACGATGGAAGACGAGCCTCGAGTTGGGTCGTAATTCATGGAGAATCCCAGCACTAGCTGGCGATAAAACTTCGCCTTCAGCAACACAGGTAAGGTAGAACGTGGGGTTATGAACGCCTATGAAGAAAAGATTTGAGACTGAATGTTTACAGAATGGTCATATATGATCTCCTCTGTGTGTTGGCAACCTAATTATTTTATTAATTATTATGCGTAAACTTAGAAGCTTCAATGTAATCTTATACACTAAATAAGTGTCTTTAGTATTTTTTAACAATGGGAGTAGACTATGTAAGGGCCAAGTTGGTGGGAGAGGAAATCTTTGAGATTATTAGGATTTGGAATGATTTTTTGTTCCTTGAAGATGAGCGACTATTTTTTGCCGTGGTTGGAAGTCTAACAGAGATATCGTATTCAATGTAGCGGACAAGAGAGGTTCTTTTTACATAATTTGGGAGCCTCCAGTTTGGGAGATTTTTTTAAAACAATTCCGTTAAAAGCTTTTATCCCCACAACTTTCTTATGGTAGAGAGTGTTTCACCTAAATTTTTAGTTCCTAATTTTTCTTAATACCTAATGTTTTTTTTTAACGCTAACTCTCTCTTTTTTTAACATTAAAAATGAAGGGTGTAATAAAAAAATTTTCTTAATAGGTAACTCATAGCTTACGAGTTTTTATACCAAATATTTTTTGAAGGCTGATAGATATATTTTACTTAGGTTCTAAGGACCAACTTCTTTCTTTGGTATGTAGTACTGCTGTAAGCTATATTTCTCCTCAGTTCACTTTAAGGAAAAAAGTTAAAATTTTGGGTAAAGTCACTCCTTATTTTATTTATACTCTCTACTTTGTTTTATACGAGTAAATAAGAAAATAGTGCTCATTCAATGCCTTAATGAACCAGCTCATATAGAATTGCGGAAGTCAGGTATTTTTTTGAAACGCTTGCGCACAAAAATTCGTTAAGAATTGCCTACGTTACATACTAGAAAATCAATCAATTCTTCTTTTTGATAATTTGAGCAGTGAGAGTTTCTTTTGAGTCCCCTATCTAACAAGATTTGTGAAAATTTATCACCCTAAAATGTTTTTAACGTTATAATATCCTCAGTAATAGAATTCATATCCTTGAGAACTCTATCACTTGCTTCTAACCCCTAACCCTTCGAAAAAGTTGGTGGCCTTTTTATCTATTCCGTAATATATGGAATCAAAATTCCTTTTCTAATTTTTTTCTTCATCTCACCTCTGACCATAAATTTTTAATTATCTGGACTTCCTTAGTATTTATGCTTATTGTAACATTCGGTAAAGTAATATAGGGCTAGGTGTTGTAAGCTTAACTAAACCTTTTAATTGACTAAGTGGCATCCAAAAAATTTGTTCCTTTGAAGTGAGGCTCCAAGTAAACATATGGTGTAAATTGTTAGATTCCTTTAGCTTGTTCCACCTTGCTGACGGTATAAATTTAAGTTGAAAGGGCTTAACTGAACACTAAGTTTTTACTAGTTTAAGTGCAGATCTTTCTAACCGAGGAATACTAAGTCCCTACACCACTACTAGCGCTCCGTGGTGCGATCCAATCCAGAGCCCAGAGCTAACCCAAGGAAGGTACCATAACCACGATTCTTCGGCTTATTAGTCACAAGGAAGAGTAAAATAGAACACTGGTCAAACAAGTTTTAAATAAAGATAAGCTGCATCCAAGAAAATTTATTCCAGTGATACCTATAACGGTCAATGGCGATATAACCCTAGGTTAGGGGAACTTACGTTGAACATACAATTTATCCACAAATGGCGCCTCCTTAAATTTTGCTACCAACGGATTGACCGCAAAAAAAACACTGCTGCTTGACGCGTATTGCGTATAGGCTTGTCTGTAATAAGAATTTTTATGATGGAAGAGCCTAGGGACATGTAAACAGTTTCACTCAGCTAAAGAGTGTACGCACTAATACGAAGGGATCTAAGTTTTTAGCCAATAGTAAGGACTACTACTACTAGCCCAACTTGCATAGCTTAGGAAGTTCTTCAAAGAATCGCCTACGCGTACCTTGCGGATCATAGTGTTAGTTAGATTGCTCAGCCATCAAAATTTGCGGAACAACGAAAAAGTGAACCTTATTGTGCGCTATCTCTTATACAGGTTTATTAAGGAGCTTTACTTTTTAAGACGACCACGTTTTAGGTCAACAATAAGTGCTCGTGCCTAAAGTACTTAATTTAATATAGTTATTTAATATAGTGTTTAGGATTGGGTCCTTAACAAAGCTGGTAAAAAAATGGTGTTTGCTGAAATAAACGGGTTTCTTCAAGGGCGTTTTAACAGGTAACTTCTACAGCGAATAAATTATATATTAATAGAGAATTTTTATTTGTGAGAAGACTGACTTAAGGCAGTACGTATCACTTACTAATCGAAAATCAACGTCAATTTAGTCGGGTAGATAAATTACCGATTTCTAAGCAGACGACAGCTACAACAGGCATTAAAGCTTAAAGAGGGATCAATAGAGGAGCCCTAAAACAGAGCTAAGGTTTGGCACTATTCTGCACTATTTTCTTTCCGAAATCTGCCTTCATTGTCTTGTTACTAACACTAGAGAAGATACGCACTACCATAAACTTCCCTCTCAGAGTCAACCACTATCTCAGCGAGAATTATGAAAAATCTCTTAAAAAAAAAAAACATAGATTTCAATAACGTTTACTTATGCAATTCCTTCTTAGTCTTTTTCATTATCTAGTTCTTTGTCGTAGGTAACAGATAGCGAATTCCTTGTAAATACTCCATCGTGAGTTAGCTCGTAAAAAGTAAGAATTACGCAGGGTTAGCAACTAGTATCAATGTGACAGATCTTTCCTCTTTAGAGTGTTATTTTAGAGTATATTTATACTAGGTTAGCGGTTTTGTTATATGAAATGAATGCTATTAGCATTCAACCTTAAAGAAAATTATTTGAATGAGATTACTGTTCTAAACCATAAAAAGGCTACCAAGAGAGGAAACCGAGCAAAGGACTTACAAACAAGAAACTATTATAGTAGAACGGAACTATCCCTCTCGAAATGCCGTTTAGCTTGTCTACTAAGCAGAACGGAAAACATGGGACTTGTAACACAATAACAGCGTATACAAAAACAACCAAGACACAGTTCAAATATAAAAAACAAAAAGAAATAGTGTAAAACATAAAGTTTAAAACACACTAAGAAAATAAAATTACACAAACCGTATCTATTTTCACATGAGAAATGATTTTGATGTATTAACCAGATTACCTAAAAAACAACCAATAAAAATACAAGAAAAACAAATTAATTTTCCTACAGCATATAAAGTAATTTGATCTTAATTAATTGGACACAATTAAAAATAGTTAAGTTTTAATAAAAGACTAATCTGATTCAGTTAACTTTAGTATACAAATATGGAAGCTTTAACCTTTTGTAAAATGTTTACCTGGAACTCTACTCTAGAGAAACGAATTTACTGGATGCTGCTTACCATTGTCATTCAACTTTTTGCTTCACCAAGGTTTTCTTCTTTTAGAAAGGTTAACACTTTTTGGAGTCAAGTAGCCAATTCAAGGATCTAGTTAAGCTTATAAGCACGCAATAAATATTTATATTTTGCGAACCACACTTAGTTTACCTATGTGTGTAAAAAACTCCGCTCTCCCCAAGCTGATCTCGGTTCGGGTGTAAAGCAATTTAATAAACCAGTTTTCCTTTCTCTTATATAACACCCTAGTTATAGGCGCCACAGTTTAACATTAAGACTAGGGACAGAAGGAACTAGAATTTAATAAACGTAAGTAACACACCGAAAATTGGTTAATAAAGTATTCTTTGCTTTAGTATCATTTTTGATCTTGTATTTTATATATTATATTTTATACACTGTATCATTTTACTTAGGTATAAAAATAATATATATATCCTTATTTTTAACTCTTACATTTAATATACTTTTATTATTTACATTTTATACAAATTTTAAAACAGTGTGATCTGATTCCGCATCATCAGGGCTAGTTTTTGACAATAATTGAATAGCTAGGTTACGTTAGTCCACGAGCTCTTGACTCGTTCTTTAGTGGTACATAGCATTGTTTAGTAGTTCTGAAATATTGGTATTTTTAAGTGATATTCTAAATAACGTAATTTAGTAGTAATATATAAATATGCCCTCCTGGTCAATTATAAGCGCGTAAGAGGACAGAAAGTTTTTTTAAAGACTCTATCTCTAAAAGATAGCTCCTTACTATCGTCGTTGCAGTTGGTATTATAATCTTTAGAGGAACTAAGTTTTTTTAAATAACCATTACATTGCACTACGTACTAAACATATAAAACAGCGCGTAGCAAAAGCAAGGGCAGAAATAAATAAGATTTGAATACTAAAATAATAAATAATTGTGGTTGATATGAACAATTCTATTATAAGTTTAAAATTGGGAGTTTTAAAGGCGTACCTATACTTTGTTAACTAATTTCCTTTGAGCATGCACTTAAATAGGTAAAATGGTGGACGTTCACTAATTGGAAGTTGTAATCAGCTATAACGGATAAATTAATGGAAGTTTGTAAAAGTGGCTCCAAATTCTCTAATTGTGTATTAAATACTTTATTTAATAGCGGATGAACTTGTAGATAATGGGTTTTAAATATTTTGTTAACACCTGCAACTAATTACGTGGACGTATGTAGTTTACATCCGTATACTATAGTGTATTGCCTGTACACGAAACCATTTTTTTACAACACCATTGGTTATTCGATGATAGAAATGTAGACCCCTTTGCGCTTCTAATTCTAGAAAAGCTTTACATTCGACTGTTAGCTAGCTTTTCTCTCGTTCATGCATATTAATATTTAGCAATAATGGGATGCTCTTGGTTATAAATTAATAAATTTTATGTAAACTATTTTCTTTTTTACGTATGCAACACGAAATTTTTAAGTTGTGGTTGGTTTTATTTATGTTTGCTCCAGCCTAGGAGCTTTGACAGGCGCGTCTTTAGGAACTGTGCAAGAAAAACTTAAGACACGGCTAGGTATTTATTTTTTTAATATCTTCTAATCCTGCTACCAACCGCGATTTCGAGATTTACTTAACGGCGTCCTGAGTGGGGATTTTAAAGTCGAGTGTAAACTCTATTTAAGGACTGATGGGACCCAAATTCCTGTTCATACCGCAAAATTATCGTTTTTGAATAAAAAGCCTCAATTTTTTACTTTATTAAAAAATAATATCGTTCGTATGTTTAAAATTTATATATATATATTTTTTTAATGTTTCACGCCTATTAAAACATTTGAAATTATTTTGTTAAAATATATCGCATAAATCATAATTCAGAATCTAGCACGGGAATGGAGGAGCTCTTTGAACGCTTAAAGCATAAAAATAAGCTTTTTACTGAGCGCAAAACAGTTAATATTGAGGTAAACTACTCTCTGCGTTTCGGAGTTCTTTACTTTAAATAATAAAAAAGGGATTTCAGTATGAACTTGAAGATTTCTTGGTGAGTGTAGGGACAGTTTCGGTTGGTACGAGTGCTAAATGTCTATGTCTTGAGGTTGGTTTGCGACTTTTAAGCGTGTTTATCTCAACTTTTTTTTAATTAATATTTGCTTAAGATTGAATATTTGCCTTGTCTTCGCCTTAAAGAGACTACCCAATTATTGAAAGAATTTTCCTCAATGCTGATACCAGCAGATTTGCTGTGGACTTTTACTTGCGGTTCTGATGAAGGTTTCTGTTATTATATCGACTGAACTTGAACTAAGTTGAATCCAACCTAGTAAAAGAAGAAAAAAAAAGTCACGAGGACTTTGGGCAACAGGTGCGTTACTGCTTCGTTTAAAATTAACTTGTTTTAGTTAAAATTTGAATTTATCACGAAATGTAAAATATATGTTAAGGCTTTATTAGCTCTCTCCCGCAAACATTTAGCTAAGCTTACTTAATAATGCGTGTATACTACTCAAAAGTAGAAGGAGGCTCGTACTTTTTAAGTTGTCTCTGAAAAAACTCGTGCTCACCGCTTTAACTTATTATAACAAAAATAAAACACATACAATAGAAACATGTATAGTTTAAGAATAGAGCTCAACAAGTTCATCGTTTACAAATTAGTTGTAGGCACTATCGCCGGGTAGTCTAACTTGAACCAGATAATTTTTTATTAGGAGCGCAACTATTATAGTGTGCTAAACTTTTAAAGCTAGTCGGTCTCTCTCGTTGAAAGAAATTTACAAAGTAGACAGTCCTCAGAAATGGCAAGTTTTCAGGAGCGTTTATGCAGAGCCTTCAATATTGCAGTTGGTTCGGTACCATAATTCACGACTAGTATTGTGGTGTAGTACTGCTACTCCAGAGGTTTCTCGAATTATAAAAAGACCACTTTTCGAGTGCATAAGAATAGAGTATGAAAAGGTTCCACTGCCCTTTTAAATAACTTTTTCTCTCCAGCATTAGTGAAAGAAAAACTTTCTTTACGCTTTTGACAAAACCATATAAGTAAAACTTACAAAGCCTAAGAAATTAATTTATTTAGGAACTAACTCCGAAAGCAGGACTGAACGAGCTTCCGAGGTGTGATTTCTCAAATGTAAACTTATCGGTGGAGGTTGCCACTCTGTTATATAACTATCAACCTTAGATTAATTATTACAAACAGATTTTTTCTATAAGGCATAAAGCTTTTCAGTACATCAAGTTTTTGCAAGAAAATAAAATATTTTAAATATAAGTCGATAATAAAAAACGGAATTTTTAGAAAGGGTATTTATTGATAAAAAGTCAACTATCTATATAAAATCTACGAAGCTAGTATGTACTCATGAATTAACCTAAACGTCCTCTTGCCAAAGTGTATAAGTAAGTACCTATATGGTTTAAAAAAAAAATTCAGTGCTTAAGTTTAAAAAAATAGTTTATTTTATAATTAATACAAAAACTTACTTCCCCTTAAGAATAAGATGTAGGCCAGAAACCACTTAATAGTAGACCTATGATATAAAATAATTAATATATTACACTATCAATGAAAAAGAGCAGAAATTAAAAGATAAAACCACTAAGTATAACCTGCATAATTTTTTTGAAACAGAAGCCATTTCTTCCATTTGCCTTCTTTCTTCGGAGGTAGTAAAGAACTGTTCATCCATTTAACTAATTATTTTATCCAAATAACAGTTTCGGTGGATATCCAGTTTGTTAGCAAAAAACGCGTTGACGGCGAAAAGATAGTAAAACTAGTTAGACAGCACGTGTAGGGCTATATGGGTGTGATTGTTTACGAAGTAGATGAATTAAACATCTTTGGCGAGGTAGGGAGGTGTTTTTCATACATTATCAATATGTTCGCGAGGAGTCTAGTTTTGCGGTAGAAAATGCTTGCAATGTAATGTTTCTTTTAAGATGAGGTGAGTGCGTCATATTAGAATTAGTAAATTTCTATTTATTAGTTAAGTTATAAACTTGCCGGCCTTTATCTGTAGAACGACTTAATTTACTTTTCTAACTGCTCTAAAGGAAAGGGAAAAATTACATAGAAAAAAGGTGGAAGAATTAGACAACCGTTCTAGCATAACACTTACAGTGCGTTTTAAGGCCAAATTAGCTAATAAAAGCCATAAAAACTATAATTATAAGAAATGGGTTTTAAGACTGGGAGGTCAAGGCAAAAAAGTGCAACAGTTGTTTACAGATCAGCAAGCGTCCACTCGGTTAAGTGTGAGAGATGGAATAAAAGGCGAAAGTTCTGCTATAAGGACGTTTTTGCTTGTAGTGGTTTTAAGAATTTTTACGGAAGCGTATGAGAGTCAGGTACTGATAACACTCTTAAACCAGGAGTTGTATAAAGATGTCACAAGTTGGGATCGATTAAATGATATTTCTCCAAGCCTTGCGGTCTTAAATGTAATTATGGACTGACCGCCACAGTTTTTTTAATTAATTTAACTGAACTGTCCAAGAGTATATAAAGCATTAGCTGACAAGACACCTTTTCTCAATTTTAAAAGGAAAGGAGGTTGCCTCTTTAAATCATATATTCTGTCGAAAAGCTTATTGATGCTCATAATTAACTACGCCAAAGGTGATAGGCGTTTTCAAGAGTTAAAAAAAATCTTTGACAATTGCAACGAGCCTAAGACTTTATTGTTAAACATGTACTTAATAAGGTATTATATGCCAAGATAATTCTTGAAAACACAACTTTTCAATTTAAACAATTTTATTTCCTTTTTAAGGTGATGGACTCGAACCAAAAGCGAATGCTCTAAGCCGAATTTCTGTTTGTAATAGCTGTGAATGCTATATAAAAAACTGATCTACAAGGGCTGTCCGAGTGAAATATCTTTTATACTTCAATATAATTTCCATCTAATTCAAGACGCCTTTCACATCGACCGTGCAATGTTTTTATCTCACGAAAAAATATTCCGATACTTTTCCTGCAAAGTGCTCATCTACAGCCAACCTTATTCGTTCTTCTCAAGTAATTTTATACCCCGTAACACCTTTATAAAATTATAAGACAAGTAAAAATCGCTAGGAGCCGGATCTGGGCTGTAGGTTTAATAATTAATCTTTTCGAGGTTCATATTTCGTATAGCAAGCTTTGCAACTTGAGCTGTGTAAACCGGCGCATTGTCTTGTAATAGGAGAATCCCTCTGCTAAGTTTGCCCCTGCGTTTCTCAAAAATGGCTTCTCAGGATTAAATGCTTAAGTCAACATAGCATTGTTCGTTCATCGTTCCTCCTCTAGAGGTGATCCACCCGATGTATTCCTGCGCTATCCCAGAATATCGTTGCCAAAAGTTTGGCAGCCACTATTTGAACCTTGAATTTGCGCGTTAACTTTATCCCTTTTTATCCATTGCCTGGGCTCTTGTTTGGCCTTTGGATCGTACCGATAGACCCCCGTTCGTCAGAGGTTACACTCCGATGACCAATCGCATCCAAATCATACTCGCATTAAAGAAAATTACGCGAACTTTCCACTCCTCGTCCCCGATCTAGCGGAGTTAACAAATGAATACCTAACGCGTACACGCGCTCACCTTCATGAAGATTTGTCCAATCCTTTTCTTTCTGACGAACCGAAATTTGACGGTCCGAGGACTAATTTTTCCACTTTCTTAATATTTACTTCCGTAACGACCGTGTAAGACGGTCCTGGTTCTCATAGTCTTTAAATGACTCTCATTTTCTTTAAACAGCGGAGTTCACCTTTAGACCTTCGCATACGATGGAGCATATATTGGTTAAGTGGTCAATAATTCCTCGTTGCTTTTGTGGAGGCATTACTTTTTTTTTACAACGTACTTAAACACAGCAGGGTATTCAAATTTCCAAAATGACAAGGTCTCGATAGACATGTTATACTTTGTTTGACGTTTACTCAATAGCTGTTACATCAATCACAATCAAATTTTACACATCAGCTATTAACATTAATTTTAACCCCCCTCACTGGACGAGGCCCACTTTCCCCCTGACCGTCTTCGAAACATTCAACGGGCCCATTTTTTATATACTAAAAACCATTTACAAGGTGGAAGGGCACCAAAAAAAATTATTTAAAAAGTTTTAAAATTTAAGTATAAGGACTAAACCTTTATACTAGAGTGCACGTCAACAAAATAACATCTTTTTCATTGCTATAAAGTATAAGATTTAAACGGGAAGTTACTTAGAGCTACTGTCGAGCTGTTCTTCGGTAATGTAATTAGACTAATTTAGCACGTTCACTTTGCTAAGTGGTTTTGTCCAACCGTTACACGTCAGTTTCCCTCGCTTCAATATAAAAGCTTATTTCTTTTAGTGGTTTTTTAAGCTGCAATCTGTCTACCTTTTTGTTACGTTTATTAATAAAGTAGTTGCATCGTTATTAAACGACCTTTTTCTTTCTTTTAGTTATTTTTTACTATATATAGGATTCTTGTAAAGTTTCAAAAAAGCTCTTACTATTTCCTGCTATTTAATGTAAGCGGTCTTAAAAATGCTTCAGTGGCCAATTATGTAAGCTAACTTATGATTTCAGTTTTATTTTTTAATTTTTTGCCTATGACCCTTTTTTAAAAATGAAATTTGCTGTAGGTTTTTTTTGCTTACTATTTTTATTTTCGTTATCACCTACGGAACTTTTCCATGGTAGGGGTCTGCCATGTAACGTAAAAATTAGTTTTAAGCATTAACCACAATTAAATTTGCTCTTTTAGCTTCTTTTAATAAGAACTTAATTCCTTTAATTCCTGTACTACTCCATTGACTTCTCGTAAAAACCTTAGAGCCTTTTCGCTGGCTTTGTTGAAATCCTTATATACTTTTTTCACGAGAAAAAATAAATCAAGTTCAAGCGCATGCTTTGCTCGTATTATTAATTACTTTACTTTTTTTTAAGTATTTTTTAACTAGTATTTAACTGTATCGCATTCCTTTTTTAACTTTCGCTTATATATAAATGTTATCGATATTACACGGCGTGCTCTTTTAAAAGAATCTTTCCAGCTTATAAAGGATCACTCACAGACTAAGTACTTCAACAATAAACAGCTGCGAGTAGTTCACTTGTTGCATCCTAATCCTGATGTTCCGGTGCTCTTTTTCCTGCACGGAGCTGGGGGTATGACGTTTTCATCTTTTACTTCTTGGTAATAATTTATTATAAAAGGACGAGTTGAGCAGTTCTGTGGGCAGCTCAACTACTTCCGTACTAATTCCAGCATTGTTATGCTCGATCTGGTGGGGCACGGGCAATCCGAAGAAAGTTCCTTGTAGATCATATACCTTTCTACCACGATTACCTTTTTATTATATCTTGCTAACAGTCAAGAGGATTTCGGCTTACACTCTCTCCTGGATACTCTCGTTGAAGTTTTTCATACCTATATGGGTCCGACTTTGCTACTGTTAAACCTTATTAACTTATCACGGTTAACCTTAAGGAAAGTACAATGCTTTCGTGGCTCATTCATACGGCACCAGCCTCTTTGCTTATCTGTATCCGCTCGTTAAGGAGCATCTCTCTGGGGCCGTACTCCTTGCCCCCCTTGTCGCCCGCCATGGCAACGCAAGCAGCATGCGCCCCCCGCTTTGGACGCGCCTCCCCTGCTGGTTTCTCGATCTGTGCAGGTTCTTCGACCGCTGGGGGGGCGTGCAGAGCTACTCGGTAGTGTTCTTCTCTTGCGCTTGTACTGAAAGCTACCACCGCGCTGCTTCAGGTCCGCAGACTTCTGGATCAAAGCGCTTCAGACTGTGTGAAGGCTCAGCAGCTTCTCTGGAATAAAGCCACGTCTAGCCTCACGGTGCCTTTGGCCTGTGCTTGTCTACAAGATGGAGAGCTAACTTGTAGCAAAGATAAAGCTTCTCGTACGGGAGATGCGCCTTCCCCCTCTCGAAGATTTCGGCTCCCTTGCCCGTCTTCCCGTCCTTTTGATTGCTGGGTATAGACTAGAGAATCCCAACATTTCGGTTTGTGACTTGGAACATATCATTTCAGCGAAGGCGACTTCCTCGCGCCTCCTTCTATGGCTAGAGATATATTTCAAAAGATTAGCGGCAGAGAGCCGCTGCCGGGTAAGATCTCGTTGTGTACTGCCTCCAACTACTTCTACTTCTTCTAGCCATTAGGCATCAGCTGCATATACTTCCGCAATGCGGTCATTTATTAATGCTTGAGAAGAAAGATGTTGTCAACGCGCACATAGCGCGCTTCTTGACTAGAGTTTGCGGCTTCAGCGTATTTCGCTTACTAGTTAATGCCTGCTTGCTGCTTAACACACGACTTATTACTGCAGGCTATGGATCGGCTAAACATAGCAAACAGGGGGAGCAGCCTAGACGATAAATGGTTCCTTTTTGTTCTTTGGTGGGGACAAGAGCTGACGCTTCGCCCAAATTGCAAAAAGGGGCTTGAAAAATTTCGAGAAGTGGGCTAAGACGGCCAACTACGGGAAGCCCGTGGGAAGAGGGGGCAGCCTTCTCCCCTTGAAAGTCCTCCGGCAGGACGGTACGCTGCTATGGTTTGTGTATGGCGGCAGGGCCCCCTTTTCTAAGCGGTCGGAATGCAGACAGCACCCACTCGCCCGAGGCCTTCCTAGCGGAGCATCCCAGAGTCGGACTGCTGATCGACCTGACGAGTGGCGCGCCTCCCTATGACACCTACTGCGAGGTGCACACCGCTGACTCTTCACGCTGTTCGCTTTTACTTACTTCTCCTAGTGCATCCCTTCGTATGTGAAGCTGAGGGCCATCTCTAAAGAGATCCCCGACAGGCAAGCCCACTGCACCCTCGCCTCCAAGTTTCTCACTTCTTACTTCTTGCTGGATAGAGAATACGTGGACTCCTTTATAAGAGCAGTCAAGACATTTCTAAAGGAGCATCCGCAGAAGCAGGTTGCTGTGCACTGCCACTACGGCTTCAACCGCACAGGATTCCTAATCTGCTGGTTTCCGACTCTCGAAGTTTCTTTTGCCTGCACTCTTAATCTCTCTAAATACCAGCTACTTAATCGAAGAGGAGAACTTCTCTGTGAAAGAGGCAATAAAAGAAGTAACTTTATTGCTCTTGAATTATCTAAACGCGCTCTAAACGCACTCGTTGCTAGTTTGCACGGGCGAGGCCGACGGGCATCCGGCACCAGCACTTCATAGACGAACTGCATCTTCGCTATGCCGCAACTTAGTTTTGTTCACTTCTAGTAGAAGTACCACCGAAGACGCAGCTAGTAAGAGATTTTCATTTGAAGTGTACAGGAAAACTGAACAGAAAGGGTTCGGGCCGCTCGTAGTCACGGGGTCCTTCGTGTCTCTTGCTCGGGTATGCACCACGCAGGGTCTCTTTGTTAAATAAAGCGAATACTTAGTCACTCTTCCGTCATAACATTGAGTATATTATCATTATTGCAAAAAGGAGTTAAATTTTATTCAAAAGGAGCTAAGACCTCATAATCTCTTTACCAGATCATTGTACTAGACCCCGTCTTTAAGAGTAGGATATAGTAATAATAAACGGAGAAATAAAAAGATAATTAGAGGATGGGTAGGATTAAGATCGTAATTGATAGAGAGAAAGCTAAAGGAAACCAGAGATGGGGTCTCGTACTACTGCATATAAGTAGTCATCATCGCTCCCAGTCAATTTAAACAAAAGTAATTAATAGATTTACATATACCCGGGAAAACTAAATAAAGTTTATAGCATATAAGTAATAGACTCTTAAGTAATATGTAGGTCGACAGAAAACACAGCTGCAAGTTTATGTTACAAGGAAAGGTGGGCCCGGTTTTTGCACTTGCCAAGTCATACTCATTTTTTAAAAATTGGAAGCACTCTGAGTATAGCATAAATAAGTTAGTTCTTATCGCTTTAACGTCTATCAGTAAATACATAAACAAATAAAAAAGTTTATAGGCTTAATAAAAACGATATAAACATCTAACTAAAATAAACACACTGCCTGTAGCAAAACATGCCACCCTCAGTCAGTCACAACAGCTTAAATATTTTCCTTCCACAAAATATTTTCGTTTAATAATTCACAAAAACAGTTAGTAGCCGTCTTTATTTTCGACCTGTAACCAAAATATAACAAGAGGCTTTTAAAATTAATATAACTGAAGAAAATGGCAAAAATTATGAATCAAGGAAGAAAAGACAATGAAAATATTAGTTGCACCTGCTGAAGGAGTTAATCGGGTCAGCCCGACACAGGCTACAAGGTTAAAAACACTTCAAGCAGGAATGTTCGGGACGGTTAACCTCTTGGAAGTTACGGTTAAACTATTCTTGGCCTATACATAGCGACGGTGAAAACTTTTTTTTAAAAAACTAAAATTTTTGAGCTTTACACTAAATTTTTGCGAATATTGCAAATACAAGGTTCATGCAAGAGACTAGTAAAGTGCCATAAGAATTCGTGCTGCAAAGAATCAAGTATAAAGATTCAGCCATATACTTACGTAAAAAGTTTTTTTATATTATAAATGGCAAATTTTAAACGCCGTGAAGTAGACTTGGAATACTTTTTTCCATGCATATGTAATAGATTCTCATACTTGTAGCTAAACGCATATTTTATACGTACTAGTTGTAATATTACTGGCATTTTATGGTAGGTTAATAAAAGTTCAAACTATGTAGATACCTAGCATCTTGCAGATAGTAAGACCCACGATCACTCTTAAAACCGTTATTTTCTTTTGATTTCGTTTAAAAAAAAAACTACTAGTAGAAAGATACAAGGCGTTGACCGGGGGGTATTAAAAGTTAACGACAGTTCGTATGACGTGGCCCTTTTTATGCTTCATTTTGGCGATAAAATTCTTCAAACCGAATTTAGTTTTCCAGTAGACGTACCAAGTATGAAAAATAGTTTTCATTTAATGTCTATAGAAAAGTGTAGCGTAAGGTAAAAAATTATGAAAGCCAATGTTTTATTATACAGTAGAACCAAAAACAGAGAAAAGTGTTAAACATTGTATAAAAAATCACAGTTCGTTCGCGTGGAATCTTAATGTATTAACGAACAAGTCAACCTTTGTGGTCTACAATAACAATGATTACCGTTTTCATAGCGTAGTGAGAATTCACATAGTTTTACTTCTAAAAACTTTTAACACGAACTATTGCGATAAATGCTTAAGAAACTCTAAGGTTTACTTTTCAAAAAAAAAACCTTTTTTTATCTCACTATTATAAACAAAAGAGCACTAATAAAGAATTATCCTAATAACGAATAATAACATGTATTACTTTAGTCATACGGCACATTTCTATACAAAGAATGAGATTTTTATTTTAATTGAAGCTTTAATATTATCTTCTGTCCTTATCGAATAACATATCTACGGTTTTATTAATTTTAAATATAATCATAACCTGTATATATACTTTTTATTGACTGAGCTCTTCATAATTTATATTATAAAACTAGCACTTTTTTTTAAGTAGAAAGACTTTCTAAAAATAAACTTTTATTTTTGCTGTTTAGCAGTTATTACGTTCCTCATGTTTCTAACGAGTCAAAAATATGATTCTGATGTTTATTTAATTAATTTTATTACTAAAATGTAACGGTAAGCTGCTGTGCAATATTTTAAAGTTAAAAGTTCTTTTTCCGAAAACTGAGGGGGGTATGTGTCCAACAAGCAGAACTCGATCGAAGTTTAAACCTCGGCTTTTTGTTCGCAAATATGGCATCGAGATCGGGGGTTTGAATTCTTGAAAATATTTCTCGAGGGTTGATATTCTGCTTAAACTGCTCGTAGAGAGCTGTAGATGAACAAAGCAGTCAGATTCTCACGTGTGTCGCAAGTATAGGCGGGGTTTGTACCTTGCCTGAGATTATTACCTTCGGCCCACTCGGGAATTTTTTTGCCGTTGTAGAACTCATCATCGGAGGAGTCGTCACTAGTATTAAAAAGAAAGAATTTGTAACATATCCAATCTTTTAAAAAAATCCTACAGAAAAACAATATCATGAGTAAAGAAAAAGTGAGTACTCGCTTAAAAGATCAGAGATATTATAAGTTTGTGACGAACGCGGTCTCGATAGGGGCGTATTTACTACTTTTCCGGTTCCTAAAGACTATTAAATTTTTAATGAGCGCTAAATTAAGACGATTGGCGCAAAATAAGGATTTCCTCGTTAGCCGAGGAGGTGAGGGCAGTTAACTTTTCTTTAATTTCCAGTTGGCTTTGTTTGGCCTTATCCAAAAGAACTTCTATTTCACTGTACCATAAGTTAGCAACTCTTCAAAACAAACTTTTTGCGGGCGTACTCATACGAAGCATTGTTCTCACTAATGCGTGCCCTTTTCTTCGCCCCGTCGATCTCCCTCAGAAGGGAGGCCCGGCCGATGTCACCACGTGGCTCATGGATGCACGAAATGAGCGGAGATTCGCCCCTTTTCGATGGCGGATGAAAGCTTTCCGGAGGCGGGGGGGTGGGTACAGACGATAACGGCGTCTCAACGCTAACTGGTGGCTCTTCTCGGGCCGTGCATCCAAGCCGTCCTTCCGAGTTGCTCGTGGAGGACGGTTCTCCTAAAGCACCCTCCCCCTTCTCCATAGGCAGTTCTGCTTTTAAAAAGAGGTAAGTGTCCACAGGAATAAGAAACAGAGGCTTTGCTAACTCAAAAAAGACGGCTGAATATTTTCTTTAACACGAACGGCAAACTCACTCCCAGGAAGTGTTGAGTTCTAAAGACAAGGAATATAGCTAAAGTTCGGGAGATGACTTCTAGTAGTACTGAACTTTACTTTACTAGTTTGATGAGGTTGTCTCTCCCTTCCCTTATACAATTTAGATTGGACTCTCTCATGTTTATTTCTTGCGGTGCGAGGAGCTTCTAAATCGACCTCCCGCGCCTTCTTCTGCGCTATTTGAGTAGCTTTCAGTCGTTTGAGAGAAGTTAGGTTATTCCTGTAAAGTGTAGTCTTTTTCACTTTGTCCACTACTTCTCGTGAGGAAACAGCATTCGCGTTGTAAACTTTTTGAACATTATTTAAAGGGCCAACACCAGGTTTAGGTACTCTAGTGCTTCTGCAAATTTTACTTTGTTCCTGTAGGAAGCAGGTTATTCATATACTAGCAAGAAGGTGTCCTTACAACCTTTTTACAAGATTTTTCAACTTCTATGGCAGTTCTTTTATTATCAAAAATAGCGCCAGCGGCGGGGGAGTTGCTTATAGCGGGTCTTAGTGCAGTTGTAGATAATCTTTCATCTTCAAGAGGTTGAGGTGAAGTACGACAATCAGACTCTTGAAAGCCTTTATTTTGCACTTTACTTGAGGTCAAATCCGTAACCTACGAATAATAGGGCAACATAATTTTTTAATGAGTAAAAGTTAATACAAAAACCTCTTTATTAGAGATTAGTCCTTCATTTCCGGTAGCTGTAAGAAATGTATCGTTCTCAACCCTGAAATGATGTTTTTAAAATCTGCTGGGTGAAAGCGATAATGAACGTAATAAAGCTTTAAATATTATATATATCGTGTAAATAGTTACTTTAATTCTTCTTTTATACTGTTTTGGATGTCTATAGCCTGCTGCTTAATAGTTTCCAGCCAACGTAGGTTTCCCTCTGCTTCATTCTTAATCGACGCACATAGATCTTTGCATAATGCCCCTATCTTTAAAACTAAAGAAAAGGAAGTTTTTAAAATAGGATTAACATGCAACATAGTAGGGGGGGGGGAATAATTGGAAGGAAAATTATATAAGTCAGTGTAATTTTAGAAATATAGGTAACCCAAGTTCGGGATGCGTTCACAACGCTTGCTCATAAGCGCTTTGTCCTCGGACAAAAGTGCTGGTACTGTAGTTGAATGATTCATTGCTAACATTTTGCCATTCGCTTGCAATCTAAAAAAGTTAAAAGGAACTTAAGGCATAAAGATGCAAAGCAAAAGGAACATTGCATGCAAATATACTCATCAAATAGAAGCTAATATAAGAATACTGCTCAAAACTTAACCCTCACTTTTTGGGCCTTACCATCTCTGTCTCACGGCCATGGATTATGAGTCATTATTACTTTTTTATAGTATTCATTTATTAAAGGTTTGTGCTAAAACTTAGTTGGAGCAGTCAAAATGCATTAATTTTGGAAATTAATAATGTTATGAAATTTATTACGCTTAAGGTAATGAATAGTTTTATGTTTTTTATTAGACACGCATTAATATGAATATAATTAAAAAAATCACAAAGTTTATTTTAATATATAAGTTTAAAATGTTACCTAATAGGAGGTCTTAATAGAGTGTATACAATTTTTACAACTATTAATTGAGTTTGTGGTTTGAGCTTCCGTAAGAACGAATTTACTACATCGGAAGAGCTAATAATTGTTGATACATACTTCCAGGAAGATTACCATCTACTTTCTTCTTATGAAACCGTACTCTACTTTAATTTTCATTTTGATATTTTAGGTAAATTTACTATACGACCATTATTCACACTGATCGTTTAAAAGTTAAGTTATTTTTATAATAACTTACAGTTATTATAATTTTATTTATAAAAAATATATATATTTAATATTAAATTATTTTTAAGCACATGATAGGTGCCTTTACTAGTATTATATCAGAATTTTTTGAGGCATTTAATGGACAAGGGTAAAAATGGCTCTGGTATCCGTAAAATCGTCGATTAATATCGCATACTTCTGGTTCAATATTGACGGAAAAAAGGAGCATAAACAATCAATTTATTCTATCGTAGAGAAAGGGGATTTATACCTCCAGGGAAGAAATACAAAACGTAGAACGAGTATATAACACATGCAACAACACGTGGTACGGCATGAGGAACGATGACACATGTTCGAGTACCACGTGGTATGTAGGTGGTTTACTAGTTAATTTCAAAAAATATATTCTGCTACCTCACAATGGAGTTTATTATAACCTTTTAATACAGTAATTACATAAGTTAGGCCGTCCTCTATTTAAGAGGTATGAGATGCCCCAGTCTTAATTTCTTCGTTCACTACTATTAGATGCCGTCCGCCGTCCGTGATTGTCCGCTTATGCTCAGTACCATCTCATAAAACCTGGTCAGATGCGACGAGGCATCTATCCGTTGCCTTCCTTTTATAAATGGCGTGCTTCATGTGAACAAAGGCGGTTGGGGTTATGATACCCTAGTACACTTAATTCTATTGGATTTTGTGGAATTGATTTTGGAGGTAATATTTGACTATTATTAATTTTTACAATCGCAATTTACTAAAATAGCTATCTTTAGGTATATCTTTAAATGCTTGTCCTGCACGAGCAAGCTTGACTCGAGCTGCGACTACAACCACCTAGGCTATATAAAGATCACTAGAGTCAGTCATTAGAATCAGTGGAGTCTGCTCATTGAGCGTAACCTGCTTAGAGCCGGTGTGAATTGTATCTCTATCTGAGTAAGTAGTGCTTTTTGGCTAAGTAACATTGACCAACAAAATTTTAGCAGGGCCCACCTGGATTCAGGTTGGCCATTTTATTCACCATTGCTTTCCTTAACTAGAGAGAAACTATAGAGTAAGCTTTGAAATTATTTTTGCATTTTATCTTGACTTTCTACTAGTTTATCAGCTTCGAGGACCAATGCCATAATACTGAAAATTACTCGACTAGGTCCAATTAACTATAAACATTATCGGCTAGATTAGCTCAGATTGGCTTTTGGTCTAGGGCGCCTAACTCGTGTGGCTTCCCGTGGGTTTCGATCTAAGGTTGACAATTGAGTTCCATCCGGAGGGGTAATGAATATGTTTTTTACTCGAGTAAGTTTTTTTTTTTTAACATGAATCTGAAGGAATAAGAGGACGAAAAATAGGAGAAACGCCTCTTTCATCTTTCTCTAACGATGACCTTACGTTGTGGAAATACAGAAATAGGGTTTTTTAGATAACTTTTAATTTCCTTTAAAGTACTTTTTTTTTTACCTCCAACAGGACCAGTTACGGGGATAGGCTGCACGGAATGAGTTAGGACTATCTGATGAGGAGGCGGAGGCAGATGATGAATTAGTCGGCGAAGAGGAAAAGCTTGCTATTAGAATCAAGGAGCAGCCATTTTCCTGACAATTTCCTTTATGTCCTTATTTTAATTATTTATAAAGAGAAATTAGAAATAATCAAGTGTGTGCTGGTAGACTGGACAATTTTTTCTATCACAAGATTGGAACGCTTTTTTCATTGTGTTAGACATTATACTTAGTAGGGTAGTAAATTTTCTCTTCTATTTTTCTCAATCTGTTTATACCCTCCAGGTGTTAATGCGCAGAAAAAAATATAACAAAAATACTAAAGATTATAGTATGAAAGGCACATTTGAAACAATTAGGTATGTTGATAGAGGACTATTGGAAAATAAGGCCGAGTAACCTTCGAATTCGTTGCGATTTACTCTAGTATCTACCAAGGGTATATCTGAAGAAGTTCAAACTAAGAGAACAGAAAAGAAGTATTAGATGTTCAAAATGTCCTCGTGCAAAAGAGAGAAAAACTTTATAGCTGTGCAAGGGGCCATCTTCTCTTAGGCCTCTTCATGCAAATTTGTACTGTGGAAATTGTGCTGATCTTGATTAATCATAGTTTTTAATTTTTTTGTTATATTTCAATGCTGTTTTTAAACTTTTTTAAGTTACATTCTGTTCCTACAAAATAAATTTTGATTTCTTAAAAAAATACATAAAAAAATTTAAAATTATAATATAAATGGATGTTCTTTTCACTAAAAAAAATTTGTCATTCGAAAGAACATCGGTAATTAACTTTAAAGTAAAATTTCTACTTTCGTAGTAAATAAGTTATGCCAAAAATAAATAAACTACACACTAACAAATTGTTAATAAAAGTACCATTATACATCGAAGCTTCTCTCATTTTCTAAGAGAGTGACTCGAATGCAGTATTAATAACTATTAGTAAATCTACAGTAACTTTAAATGCTAAGGAAAAATAAATTTAATCCTTTCATAGCCTTTAGCAATTTTGTCTAAGTGCTTTAAAGCCGTGGCAGTATGGATACATAATAAGAATTAGTGGTCAACATATTATTAAATATGTTTAAATAAAAATTTGGAAAAGCTGGTGCCACAATAACTAGGCAACCCTTTATGGTGTTTCACGAGAAATTATTGTTCATAACAGTTATCGTTTAAATAAGGCATAGAACCCACGAAATTTGACTAAGTCTGGAGGAGGCGATGCAACATGAATAGGGCGTATAATCGCCTTTAAATGGTTAGTTTTTTGCTGAGTATAGGGTCTTTTTTCGTAATTGAGACGAGTATCTAACACAGATAGCTAAAGCCGGCGCCCTCAAGGTATACATCTAATGATAATATTTGAGGCCCACACGAACTGTCACCTGAGGTTGCGAGTTCCTTGCGCTGCCCTCTCACTATATCCAGCACCACTGGATTACATCTAATCTTCTGGACATGGTCGTTGCCGTATATGAAGGCGCGCTACACCCTTACTGGGATACTATAGTGCTTTACTTGCCCGAGTTCCAGTTTACATTTAAGCAAGGCCACTCAACGACGCCACCGCTCCTACGACCGGCGGAGTGGGCAGCCTTCCCTTTAATGAGAAAGGGTAGAGCGCCATCTTCCCCTATATTGAAGAGCTGTTTGATCGACTTTAATTCTCGGACTTTTTAAATAGTGCGTCTTCCTCCCCTCACATTGCTTTTCGTAATTTAAGTGAACGACATCTCATAACCGGACAGCCATCTTATGTAAATCGCCCTCCATGTAGAGGATAAGTCGATCTACTCCTAATCAGGGACCTGCCTTATTGCCCTTGTGTCTTCAGAGCTGTCCAGCACACGCTTGCCAACTGGTGTCGGCATAGGACGATGTAGGAATAGTACTTTATAACTACGAAGGGTAAAGCCCTATTTTGTAGAATCGCACTTCATCGCCATCGCTGCTGACCTTCATTGAAGCTGTAAGTCCGAAGAGTTCCTTAAAGCAATTATTTGGCTTTTATTGGAGGAGAACGTCAATTATATAATGGCAGAAATCAAGACGGTGGCTCAATCATCTTCTTTACTTCACACTAAAAGCAAACTTTCGTTATACAGCGAACCAAGTTTTCATGTATCGCGTTTCTGTCTAACTATGGCAAATTCCTCTTCTAAAACCTAAAATTTGCTGGCAATAACATTTTTGACTTAAGCAAAAACAAGATGCTGCATGTCATTACGGATGCGCCTTGGTTTGTGCAAAACGATATAAGACCTTCAATTAGAACTACAGGATTCAGTTTTTAGACTCAATGCCATCTCTATCTACGCACAACTTACTATTAGATTCTTACCATGCAAAAAGTAGACGCCCTCTTTAAAGGGCACTAAATCACTTATTAAGACACGAAGTCCTAACGGAGAGCTTCTTTCGAGGTATGGAACTGTACGCGCTACCGTCCGCGTGGCTCATTTATATCAAATAAGAGGTTTGAATAGTAATGTTTTGAAAAAAGGACCAACTGTAAATTTACTTTTAGTCTAAAACCCTATTTTTGTACGCTAATATCTAATCAAGATAGAGCTTAGAAAATAGGTGTTTGCTGCTCCGCTCCAGCACCGACAAATATTGAAAAAATTTGTTTTTGGATAATAATGGAAACCAGTCCTCTATAGTAGTTTAGCCTTGGCAGTCTATTCCCGCTCTAAGCTTAAAATATTAAACCACTATGTAAAATTATAATCATATACTATCTCTTTGTAAGTACCCCTTTTTATTCTTACACCACTGTTTATTAAGCCCATGATCTATAAAAGTAAGTGCCGCCCTCAAGTTTAGACCAAGGGTGGCCAACACGCGACTCCCTCCCCCACTCACTGCAGTGACATAGACAGCAGTGCATCGAAATAAATTTAAGTAAACTTTTTTACTATTATTCGATTCAGGTGTAAATGTAGAGCAGGGGTACATATGCGTTATATTTTAGAAGACTTAAAAGAAATGAAAAAGTGGTACGTCTAATAATTTTAGTCGAATATAGTGGCACTTTAGAACAAAAAGGTTAACCACTATTGGTTTAGGTAGTTTGTAGTCAGTTAATGGGACCACATTTTTAGCCGTTGCGTATTTTTTCAAGGGTTATATGAATCTCATTTAGTCCTTGCGGACTTTAGATAATCCCCGTTAACTACTATTTATTTTTATTTTAACCTTTTAGTTGTGTTAAACGTAAACCATTTTAAAAGGCTAACTTTTTTGTACACCTGTGAGAAAAGAGCTCGCATAAAGTTAATAAATATTTGCATAAAACTATGCTATGTTTGCAACCCCGGCCCCTCCTCGGAAAAATAAAAAGGACAATCGGGTTATAGATCCTTTAAACGCTTCACAAAAGGCTAATTCGTTAGAGGATTCTACTCTCGACAGCAGTAGTAAGACTATAGTTAATGAAATCATACTTTCGAAAGAATCACTAACTTCAACTCACGAAAATGAGTCTTCTGTAAATAAAGGAGCAACACCCAGTAGTAAGGAAACGGCTATCTTTCCTTCTTGCAATTACATCGAGCCTTCTTGGAGCTCTTTACCTAAATACAACTTCATCTTTGAAATCATAAAAAATGGTTTTTTATGTATTCTCATATCTACTTTTTCATTTTAAACTTAATTTATTATTTTTTTTTTTGGTTATTATACAGGTGTTATTATCGAAAATATTGTGTTACACAACAGCAATAAAACCTTCTTCACTTTTGGCCGTATACCGAAGTATTCTTTTATAAGCCTTTCGTATAAACTTAACACTCTCATTTCACCAGCTGTGATTATGTATTAGAGCATCCGTCCATTTCTAGGTTTCACGCCGTATTGCAATACCGGGATAACGGGGGTCTTTATCTATATGACTTAGGAAGCACTCATGGTTAAATTGCTTCGGCCTATTATTAATATTGAGACTGTGATCTGCCATATAGGCACGCGTTTGAACAAGCAACACATAGCGCCGCACATGTACTACCGCCTTCGTTCTGGCTATGTCGTTACTTTTGGGTTATCTACTCGCATTTTTGTTCTTCACGCTCCTGAAGACGTTCAAATCCAAGATGAAGTAATATTATAAATTCAACCGATTACTAAATGTGTCCTTTTTAAAACAAAACTTGAAGGAAGAACTTGAATTATTAAGAAAGAAACAAGTTTTACATAATAATGAGAGAGATGATGAGGAAGAGCAAGCAAATTCCTGTCTTTGGTAAATTTTACAATTATAATTTCTTACTTTTGCTTCTATAACATTTGATTTTATAAATTCAGGGAAGCTTACTTAACTACTTGTAAAATTACAACTGTATCCTTATGATTTAATACTTTTTTTCAATTGTTTTACTACTTTATAACGCTACGATATCTTTTTGTTGGTAATGTGTAGGGGATTTAGAGAGGATGCTACTGAAGAAGAGTTCTTTCAACACGAAGAAAGTGATAGTAAACTTACCGATAACAGGAAGGTTTAAACCTTATGTCGTCTCTGTTTCCTAGTTATTTCAAGTTTTAATCGACATTTAAAATCTAAAAGCATTTTTTGTGTTAATTCTGCTTAAAATTTATTGTTTAAAATTCCTCAGAGCAAAAAATGGGAAAAGGATCCTAAGAAAGCTTTAATTAGTTACTTTGAAAGCGAAAATTTAGACGTAAACTACATCTTTGAAGAGGGAGGGGTGCGCCATTTTGTTGTTAGAGTTTGCTAGACTTTTATATTTAACTTGCAGACGAGGAGAGACAAAACTTTTATCTGCAGAATTAACCTCCCTGTGCACGTGGAAGGGGAGCAGTTGGTGGCAGGTGACTTCTTAGGACATGCACTTCTGGTGCTTTTCTGCAATTTATTTGATAGTTGGTGAAGCTAAACGGAAAAAGGACGCCATCTTTAACGCTTCCTACGACGCCTGTCGCCTTCTAAGTCGGAGAGGCATGCTCAGCTCTGGTTCGCTCAGTTCAGTTTTCACCAAAACACATAACAAGGCGCTCGCAATTTTTAGGAGGGCGACGGGCTAAAGAGACCGTAGCCGCCGGATGGGGTGGCCCCGGTGACGAGGACGATGACAACGATGATTATTTGGACAGGACAGGCGACGGTGCACAGTGACTTTTCTGTACGCATAGAATGCGGAGTTTCGCTGAAACATTTGGCTGGCAGTCGAACGAAAAAGGGCCCGAAGGGAGGGGACTAAAAGCGCCGCACGGGAAATACACACTAAAGAGAATCTGTTGGAGAAGATAAAAAAGCTTCGAGAAGAGCAGAAGAGGCTCGTTGATAAGCTCATTGCGTTGCCCACCGTTATAAGTAAGATAAAACGTTTATTGCTTGGGGCGGAAACTCTTTAGATGCTTCATATATATATATATATATAATAGCAGCTGAAGATGCTGAAGACGAACTGGAAAAGTACATGAGTAGAATCAAAAACAGTGTGAACGCCAATAAGAGAAAAGCCATTCAGAAGGAATTGGGTACTCTAGCTGAGCCCTCCGCCGGCGTGACTGTCGCCTCATTACTAAACTAGAGGCCATCTGCTTAAAGGTTGCCGAAGCGGAATCTTTTCTGCAGCTTATAAGGCCGGTTAAAAGAAACTACATGTCGGTTGCCTACCAGCTGCAAAATGAGCTTACACCACATAATAATAACAATAACAATAGTAGTAGTGGTAATAAAAGTAATAACAGAAATAATGAAATTGATATCAATAGTAGCATTGATAGTAATGAGAGTAATATTATGAGCGTTATAGAAAGTAATACTACAAGCAACAGCGGTAGTTACAAAGCAAATGGCAGCGAAGAAACTACTAAGCTGGAAGCCACGAAGAGTGGCGAGAACAAGAAAGATAAGAAAAAGAAGACGAGCAAGCGCGTGTTTGTGGAGGAGCAAGTATCCACGTGGATGCCCCCTGCGGGTACTACGTTTATATCTTTAGTCTTATTTATTGCTACTATCACCGTGCGCCAGACCAAAAAGGAGACGGCAAAACCCACTTGAACGAAAAATACGGCTACTGACATCTTTTCTGATAACTATTTGTTCGTTCAATTAAACCATTAACTCTTTCTCAAGCTCTTCCAACTGCCTTTCTTTGCTTTTTTTTCTTTTTTTCGTGGTCTTTTTTTTGTTTCTTGGCAATTTTCTTTTCGGCGTGTTTCAGCTCTTTCTCTTTTCTATTCAATAGTTAAAATCCAGGTCATTAATTTTAGTAAAGACAACACCTCTCTGATTCTCGTTTTCTTTCCATTTGCGAGTAAGGATCCACGAAGCCCACTACAACAAACAAGAGCACTTAGTAGTACGTTATATGCTAAAAAAGTAAGGAGGCACCTTGCTTCTCCTCTTCGGCTTCTGCGCTTGGAGGCCGGTACTCTTTAACGTGATTGACCCGCATGGTCCAACCCAGAAGCTTATAGTATACTTAAAACCTCGCTCGAGTTAATTCATAGAAGTTACCTGTATGCCGTTCAAATTATCCACCGCTAGATCAGTGCTCCGCTGATCTTCATAAGCTAAAAATCCAAAGCCACGAGATTCCCCTAATAAACAAACACAATGGATTAGTGAACATAAAAAAAAATAGGCCAAACGCACCTGACTGTTTATCCCGGATCAAATTTATGTCTAAAATCTCACCGTATCTTTAGTGTAAAAAGTATTTAAAAGGAACTAAATAAAAATCAGTACCCACGCCAATTATTTACTGAGAAAACACAGCAATTATGTCTCCTTCGGTTAAACTTTTGGATAAACCTCCAAAGTATAAATAAGCACTATGCCTATAGTCTTCATGCCAACTAGCCTAAGCAAATAATGAATCAGAAAGAGAGCTGAAAAAAGTTGTGCTAAATTGGTCAATAAACAGCAATTAAAATCTGAATGAAATTGGTAAAATATTATAGTGGATATGTGCAAACAGTACAAGAAGTTAAAGAAAGACATAAAACCTTAGTACCACTAATCCCAAGTGAGAGTTCACGCATGTTAAGCTCATGTACACTACGAACGTAGCTAAAAGTTATCAACAAGTATTAGTTATTAGTTACTTTAAATATTAAAGTTAAAAAAGGTTAAAGATTTTAAGGGTCTCGCAATAACGAATCGTTATAGTAGTAAAACTCAAGCTACCGCAAAAAAAATAAGTATATAAAATTGATTATACTTCATATTGGCAGAGATATATTCTTATAAGTCGTTATATTTTTCCTAATTTAAAAATAGTTAATCCACTCGATGTTTGCAACTGTGTAAAAACACTTCATACCTTTACGTAATAGATTTCATAGGTAGTGGCTCTTGACTCGTTCATCAATAAGTCAAGCAATTTTTCATGATTGGTGGACCATTCGACTGCTAAGGCAGCCAAGCTAAGCTTGCCAGAGGACTTAGGCTCAAAGTTGCCTTGCATCGAGTTATCAGGTTGGAATGTACAAGTGGTAAGCTTAGAGTATTTCGCACCTAAATAAATTTTTATGAGGCTATGCTTACATCGGATAGAAGTTGTAAGCTTAGTTAACCCCTTTTCTTAATTAACCTCTGGGGTTTTCTTATACCTAGATTGTAAGTTAAAACTGTGTCGGGTCGGTATGTACGCTATGAAAACAATATAATATAGCGCCTTGATAAACTGACCCTTCCAACTGTTGCATAACGACGTCTATCGAAGCTAGCTAGACCAAAAACTGTTTTAAATTAATTGTCAATATAGTGTAGTTTTTAAGAGTATAAAATGCAATTATCAAAAAAGTCAAATGGGTAAAAGATTAATAGCTAAAAATTTTTGAAACGTTTCATATTTCATAAGTTTGCAAGCATAGAAATCGCTTGCATTTTAAATAGGTTTGTAATAGCTAAGTACTTAAAGGTTGACAGCAAACTTACTAATACCTTATTGGTTTTTGTTAGTTTGAGTGCTTAATATAGTTTGCTTTTTCAAACCTAAGTCTAACTTTTTGGGTTATAGATTTCTAGGCCTGGATTTCAGGTATTATTGGTGTAGCAATCAGAATCTTTACCTTTTAAACAATATTTGTATACTACAAAAGTATCACTAGAACCTTAATACCAAAAATTGGTACTTTCGTTGTATCCTTCTTACAAATTGCAGTAGAGATTTGATATAAAAAAAAGAGTCTCGTACTTTCAAAATGTAAGGCATAGAGTGACCAAAGGTCTATAATAAAGATAGTAGGAACCGCTGTTCCCCTTGGTTACAGCCAAAATTGTTCACTACACATGAAAACTCTCAAGGAAGGCTCCGTAAGCCTCTTTACCCGAACTTGTGTCCGTAAATCACTCTGGATAACTATAATATTTTTAATTATAATGCTTGCTCTTCCTCTTTTCTCATTCTTCATAACAAGAAATCTTATGCTAAGTAAGTTATTACCTTTAATTTTGTTTATTAGCTAATTTAAACTTAATAAACCTAACACTTATTTCTATACTACCTCGACTAAATTGCTTAAAGTTTACTCTGGTCAGTCTCAAAACCAGGATCTGGTGGCGGCAGTGGTATCGATTATTACTACACAAATTATTTTAGCTGCCTGGGTTATAGTTGCGTGGAACGACTCGGACGATTTTGCGAAAGAGAAGTCCGAATAAATCTCTACCTTAGCTCTTTTCTTTTTATTTTTAAACTGCTTCTAAAAATTTGTGCGAACTAATCCCTAAATAAACTGCCCTAGCATTGTCTTTTTCTAGTTGCTCTTAGTGCTTTATTTATAGTTCGTTTTACTCTACAGTAAAATAAGGTGTTTGATATAACTATACCCGTTAAATTTTTTTTTTAAGTTAATGGGTACCCAAAAGGATATATCGTTAAATAGTAGGTAAGACTGACTTTATTTAATAAAGAGGAATTTTTGAAGGAATATAACTTTATTACTTAAAATAATTTACAGTTTAAGGCAGGTGTTTAAAACCCCAGCTGCGAAAGGGACTTTAAACATAGAGCAAAGCCAAGCACTTTACTAGTTCAATGCCTTAAAAAGTATTTTGGTTTCCAAATAATGATATTAAAGTTAAATACCGATAAACGCTGAATGAGTCTTAGTTGGCTTGATTACCTCGCCCCGAACTATAGCGTCAGCCCTCCTTCGAAATAAGAAATAGTATAGTATAGCAAAAAACGCACATTTAAAAGAGCAATATTGTATTTTACTCCATAAGTATGGGACTAAGTACAAGCTGGTTTATTAAGAAAGCAAGTGTTGCAATAGTTAAAGCTATAAAATTGGCGGCGCCTTTCTGGAGTGACAACCAGGTAGCAGCCAGCAACATCCACTCCAATCTATTATAATAATGTTAAGACGCCATAAAAAACATATTAAACTCTTTCCAATTAGCGAAAATTCTAAGTTCGACAATCATTACCTGAACTGTGACTTAAAAACATGCCTGCTGACCTCGAAGGCTACCCTTCTTTTAAGATTTTTAGCCTTTAATTTCGATCTGTATGAAGAAATGAAGGTTAACTTATAAGCTTGAAGCAGCACACAACATACCTCGCCTCGATGGCAATCGCGACAGAGGACCCAGCCCAGAATTTGGCAAAGCTGTGAGGAAGAAGGGAAAGCTACCAGATAATAAAAAGGCTTTTATAAAAATCATTAAAAAGGTAAAAAACTAAAAAATAAAAAAAAACTTCAATATGTAAAACGGTGGATACGTGTAAGAAGCTCATGATCTATCAATTTTTTAGTAATTATGAACAAAGTATTAGGCGCTAAAGTTGAGTCTTGGTACTCACTCAACAACACTACAAGTTATCCGCGGTAAAAATTAAGTTTTATATCACGCACTTTTTTTAATACGGCTTAAGAAAATTATTATTACTAAGATTGGCGTCTATCTGAGTCATGGACACTCGTAACGAATTGGATTACAACTGCATCTAGTATACCTCGAACAAACTTTTCCTCTCATTTATTAATTAAGTAATTAAGAATGTTATAAATTATTTAATTGTGTAATTTAGTTTGGTTATAATTCTAATTGAAAATTACAATATTGTTAGCTTTTCAACTTTTACTAGTATAATCCTAACTTGATAATTAAGTGTGGGTCATTTACAAAATGACTAGAATGCAGCTAGTTGGAAATGGGCAATTAACACGCAAACTTTAAGGTTTTAAACTTTGTGCAAGCCTCTAAGTATATAAAAATAAAAGTCGTTTACGTAAGCGGTATCATTAGGTGTCTAGTTGTCTACTTTTGTAAAAGTGAAGTAATATTTAAAAAAAAAATAATTTCGTATGACAAGATTACAAGAAACTTAACATTTATTTAAAATTTATTTTTACTTTATGCATAAGAAATATAACCTAGGAAAACATTTTTCAAAAAATTAACATGAAAATCTGTAAGAATGGTAGCTTAGATTTTTACAAAGATAAAAAGTTATGTTTAAGCTTAAATAGCCTTGCATTAGCGGTAATATCCAACTAATAAACGAATAACTTCTGAAATACTAATTTTTCATTTACGTAGAGCAAAAAGTTTGGATTACCGAGGAATACATTTGATATATTACAATACAATAATAGTAGAAATCATTTAAATTTTAATAGTAATGGTACCTCTTAAAATTTTTGTAGAAACTTTAATATGGTTAAAAGTTAAATAACTTTTGTTAGTTACTTCATAATACTTTGTTTATTAGATAAACTTTAATAAATTTGTGATAATTAAAATATTTAACATATTGTCGGTTTTTAACTGACCGTTGAACCCCCATGAAATTGTCTGTAGTGTTATCTTTTGCCCCCTCAAGTTTAAAAGAACGCCATGATGTGGAAGGAGGAAGGGAGTAGAAACAGGTTTATTCATTTGCGAAAGCGCGAGCGTTGTGTAATTATACAGCGTGGCAAATTTTAAAAATTGCTTATATCAAGTACTTTAATTGTAATTTAGCTCTAAAGACAGTAATAATATAATATAAAAAAAAAAGTTGGAGCACTACAGTCTCTACGACTTTTGAATTTATAATAGTTAAAGCGTTTATAGGACTGCCTTATATCTATTAAAAACAGCATTTGTGATTTTTTGTTAAAAGGTAAAAAAGGGAAAAAATTAAAGGGTAGCTTCCGTTAAATCTTTTCAGATCTGTTATATTTTTGTCCAATAGCTTAAGATCATATATAACCATGTAAAATATAGGGGTGTTGAAGAACTAAAAAACATTAAAAATTTTGTCCCCCTAAGAGCTAGGCCAACATACACTGTACTACGATCTAGCATTCGCCCCCAACTTAATTTAATTTGGATCGGGTTTAATTGCGAACAATGTATTTTCCAAATCGCCCTAATTATATTTGGCTTTTGACTTAGACGAATATCAAGGCTTACAATTTAAAATTAGGGACTGATTTTGTCACCTTCTTTATAATGGAGTGCCTTTCGCTTACTTCTTCTTCTAACGTTTCTAGTTTCTAAGTTCTATTTTCATTCAAGCTCTTGAGTATAAGTTCTATTCTCGCCTATGCACAACTTAATACTGTTTGCCATAGCTCCAATCTTGTTATAAAATCTTGGTTGCGTTTTTACTTTTTTGAATCTACTCTCTTAGTACTCAAAGAGTTTAGATGTAAATGCATACCATCTCAGAGAGGAATGTACGCCATGCACATATGCACTCATTTGTACCTATATTTCATTTATAGTTTTTTTTACATGCCTACTATTCGCCTATATCATGTAGCTAAAAAAAATTTGATGAAAATTAATTATTCTGCGCATAGTGAGCTTTCGGAAACGTGCGTCTTTCAAGGATTCATATGCGAGCTCTTAAATCCATTGGTGGTTTAAGTGCCTGTTCCCACGCTCAAATTAGGAGCGGTTGCAAGTAATTGCATTATAAAAAGATCAAGTTATTAGCAGCCCAGCTCATCTTAAAAAGAATCGCTCCGCAAGACATATAGTGCATCGATCATTAACCGCCGAATTTGTACTGTTGTGATGTTGTTGTATTGTTATTCCTAAATGGCACAACCGCGGATTGGCTATAAAAGCTTAGTTACATGTACACCCTAGGAATAAATGTGTGAATAAATTAAACAAATTACATGTATAACACAGTAATTAGGCTGCCTCCCTACACAACAAGTGCCACAAAGGATACAGAGCAGAAAAATTAAATCCCTTTCTACAGGGGTATGGTATCTTTATTTATACCCAAGGGTATACTGATTGATGGACGCACGTGGCTGACAGTATTTCCAAGCGTTATACCATAATAGGAAGTATGCACATTGTATACAGGCGCAGATTTTTGTGTAGAGCAAGTTATTTTCTTATCGATAAGTCGCATAGTCCACCTAAAATGCATCAGCCTTTTCGGGTGAGAGGTGGGGGTAGTGCAATGTATAAGAATTTACGAGAGTGAAGTTAAATACGCGACCATCAAAGACCGAAAAAGAGAGTCAGGTTGGTAGGAATCGAATCCACGACCTTGAATATGCGCATCTATGCTCTTAAGCGCTGAGCTACGACGACAACTCTCGCTCCTGGAGTGATGGTTACACCACGTGTTAAACCTGTTACATTGCGTTTTCTAAGAAATTTTTTTTTTTCATTGATATCCTTTTCTCTTCCAGTCTAAGTTAGTAAGTGCTGTTCAGTAGCATGGTGAATGTGAATATAATGGAGCGGGGCTCTTTTATTAGAGTAGACTGTCGTTGGTGTGATCTGCATGCATTAGGATTCGCAAGGATTGGGGATGTCTAGCATGCACAGCGCGAATAGCAAGGATACGGTGTGTATTCACTCATTAAAGTTTAACAAACATTATAAATGCTATTATAACCTTAAACTAATTTTCCTTTTACGGGTTAACAATTTGCTGAGTTAAACCAAAACTGGAAGGGCATAATAAATCCATCTTGATACATTTTTAACTGACTGTCACGTGTTTAGAGTACAATTAGTAGGAGAGCCTTAGTATCACTAGTAGAGTTAGAACACTATTTTTATAATTATTAACAATTTTTTACAATTTCACGAAACTTATAGTAAAAATGTACAATTCGCACAATAAGACTTGTTTAGAACAAATATAACCTTCACCCGAAAAAAAATTGGGTAGAAAAAAATTAAAAAATTTTAATATTGACCATTAATAAAAAACTATAAATTTAAGTAATAAAAAATTACTTAAAAATAAGCTCAAAAAGAGTTATTGCTTACATCGTATGTATCGATTTCTAAATTTTACCTTATTTTAATTACAGGAATCTACGGTAAGTACTAAGAATTTAAATCCCATAATCTGAATCCCCCTCCTCCAAGAGGGACTGGGGCGCCTTAAAGTGCATTCTTCGAAGGAGAATCATTACTGCCCCGAAGACGGAGGTGCAGCGTGAATATATATGGCCGGGGCTCCCGTCGTTCCACTCAGCGTAGTAAAAAACCACGATCAGGAGAGGCAAGAAACCTTTAAGTACTAGACCCGAGATCGCCGGAGGGCAGCCAGCCAAGGACCAGCCAAGTTTATCAGAATTTTGTCTGTAGGGGAATTGTACATGTAGCCACCAGACCATAATGCGAGTTGGCACCGACGGGAATGGAACCCGCGACCTTGAGGTTGCGCGAGTATGCTCTAACTACTGAGCTACTGTGACGGTTACCTTCGGTCAATAATTCACGTATATAACTTGGTTTAAGTTTCCCCGGTTCTGTTTAAATTTTACTTTTATTCTGTCACGTGCGTTGGCTACCGTCCCGTGGTGAGTCAGAACAGTCTTAAAGTTTCTGAGGTTGCCACTCGACATTTTCCGCTATAACTAAAAGCTCGGTCCTACAGGGTGGCATCCCCAGGTGGACGTCTACAATGAAAGTTTTTTTAGAATATTCTGATAGTAATATAAAAGCCTTGTGTGACGCGCATCCAGAAATTATTGAAAGAGAAGAAGATGATGTCGTCTTATTATTATTAACTTATCTTTTAACTACTCTTATAGACACCGTTATCTTTTTTCTTTTTTCTCACTTTTTATTAAAATTTTATTTTTTTTTTCTAATTGTTCGGTTTCTCTATTAAAATATAAATATATATTACAGCAAAATATTATATGTTTTCAAGATGCTCTCGACGTTTCGTTAGCTTGTGAATATTTGTTATCTTTAGATATTGCTACTTACATCGATTCTCATCACAACGACGACAAAGTTTATAAAGCTTGGTATACATAAGTATTAATTTTTTATTATGTTTATTAATTTGAGACGGTTAAAGCAAACAAGCTATAATAAACGCGCAGCCTTCTAAGGTTCTTCAAGCTCTCGTGGACTCTTCAGAAGTTCTTTTTTCTTTAAAAGGCGATGCAGCAGAAAGTTTATTGGGCTGTTTTATAGTAATTTTGGCTGCGATTCCTAATGAAGAAAGGGTTAGAGTTTCTAGTTTTCTGTATGAAAACATTAATTTTTTTTTAGTTAGATCTGGTTAAGCAACTTGTTGCTCGCCTCTCTAGCAGCACCGAAGACTCAGTGTTACGGGCTAAACTGTACAATTAGTTATTTAACTGGTTATTACTAAATAAATTATAACACCAATAGGTTCTCTTTGCTCTTCAATAACTTGAGTTCTCACGATATTTTTCGTTATTATGTCTATGATTCTTTGGTGGTTTTTCTTGGAAAAGTTGGAAAAGTCGCAAGTTTGAAGCCACAAATTAACCAAGTTTTTATTTTGCTACCAGTTTTAAAATTATTATTCACCATTTTACAGTTGGATGAGTGGTTTGGGGAGTGGGGAGTCGACATGGAGCAGAAACGTACGCTTTACAAGCACTTTTTCGAAGCCGCTCAACAGTGCGAAGAAAGGTTTTCACTTCTTTTTTTTAATTTTTTGCTCTTTTCCTCTTCTTTATGTTTTTTATGATAAAAGTGATTTTGCCATGAAGTTTATATTTAAGTATCTTGGCTCCTTTGATGGAGAATCTCCTGAAGTTTTGGATGCTGCTCGAGTAAGTTTTACTTTACCTAGTTTTTAAAAATCCTAAGTTTATTTAGTATTAATGTTTAATAACTTTTGTTTATAAATATTACTTTAAATATGGTTTTTAGGATTCTGCAATTTCTTGTATTTCGTCTGTCATCAAAGTCCCCAAAGTTTTCCAAATGGATCATTTACTTGACTTCGATGTTGTTAACAATTTAAACGGTTTATTATTATATATATATAAATTTAAGCTTCTTGAATTGTCGTTAAGGCCATCCTTCTTACGATCTTCTTGATATTTTTGTTAACGGGAATTTGGAAGACTATTATAAGTTTTATGGCGAGAATTCCGATCTTATTTCAAAGTTAGGTCGATTATATTTTTTAGCTTTTTTATTTTTAATCTCAATCTCATATGAATCAAAGATCTTGATCACAACAGCAACGTTAGGAAAATGCGATTGCTCACGCTTATCTCACTGGCTCATGGAAAAGTTTTATTTTTTAATTTTTTAAATCTTATCAAGTTTCTTATATAGTAAATTTTAGTCTGATGTTATTTTTTAACAAATAGAATGAAGTTGAATATTCTCTTATTGAAACCTCTTTACAACTCCGAAGGGAAGACATTGAGGTTTGGATCATCAACGCGATCGGGGCGGAGTTGCTCGAAGGAAAACTCGACCAAATGAATTCAAAACTACTTGTCAGGTTTGTGTTTGTGCTTTTGCAATTCTGCTTGATTCCAGTTTATTGTCCACATTTTGGGGTTTTCTACTTTAACGATGCTTCTTGATTTCTTTTATTCTAATTATAATAAATTTCGTATGTCTTATAATGTTTGTTATTTACCTTATAAGTAAAATCCTATTTTTTTAGCGTTGGCCTTATAAAACCTTTACAATCATATATATTCCGCTTGAAATTTTTTTAGGTTTTTTTATTTTTGGTTATTATGTTTTCTTTACGTGAGGATTTCTATTTATTGTATAGACGAAAATATTATTTTCTTTTTCTTTTTCTTTTATTTTACACCTTAAAATTCGAGTCAGTTTATCAAAGCTCATATTGTTAATCTTAAATTATATTTAAAGTTTTAGAAAAGTTTATTACAAAGTTTGGGTTTGTTTTGTTTTACATTGACTTAATCTATCTGTCAATTCCTAAGTTACGTAAACTTTATTTAATTCTTGCAGGGAATTTTATTTGTAAGTTTTGGAGTTATTTACTAGTTATTTAACCAAAGCTTGTTTATTTATTTTTACTAAATGTATTATCGGTGATTCGATTGTTTCTTTATTTTTATTATATTATATAGTTTATATATTTATATAAAATAATTAATAAACTTGAAAGGCGCGCCATCTATCGCAATTTTTCGACGAGCCACTGGCAGCAAATTTACGACAGACTTAGCACTTGGCAAGCAAATATTGCTTCTTTGTTAGAATCTCTTGAATGAAACAGTTTGTTTTTGCAGATTAGTATTATCTTGTTCTTAATAAATGTTTTTTTTTCCTTGTTTCACTCAAACATAACTAACGCCTTGTAAAGGCTATAACCATTCCTTCTTTCTGCTTTCAAACTACTTGATAACGTTAGTATTCTGCGGCTTGACGCGTTTCCGTACGCTGGGGATAATATATGTTGCAGGGAGGGACGATTATAAAGAATATTATTTTTCGTCTGGGATTATTCGTGCATGCCTATTAAGTTGCGGAGTCTAGAAAGTTGCTAACTTCTCAACCTTAATTGGTCTGGGTTTGCTTTAGTGCTCTGGAAAAACTTCTACTGGCCTGTTACTGCGGCTTAAGAGTTTACTGAGATGAGTAAATACAACGCGGGACGTAATTATGTATGAAGTAACGGAGTGTATATAACCGCAATCATTTTTCTTGCGTTCTGCCTAAGTAAGACGGCACGGATTCTATTACTTACTTTACCAGAAAGTGCTTTTGCTTTTATTATTTTTAGCTTTTCTATTATATAAAGTGCACTCTATGGTTAATAAGCTTAAGTTACTTATTTTAAACAGTAATATATACTCGTTTTTACTGTTAGTTAGTATTTGTTCACCCCTACTTTCCATTTCTTTGTATATTATTCTTAGAGAGCTTTTACTGAGCGCGAGTAATTTTGTAAAAGCTCTCAAAAGAACCAAACATAATTGTAGCGACAATTTAGATGTTAAAAACCTTTCGAAGCGAACATAAATATGGCAAAGGCCGGCAAGAATAATAGCTTAGATTATTATTCGAGGAAGTTGTATATAAGTTCACAAGTATACATGTGAACCTGTTTTTTAGGAAATAAAAGCACTTTATATGGTAGGAGGATATAGGCGAGTGTATAACATTGCAATTCCACAGGTGTCTCCTTAAATCCATTTACGCTGTTGTAACGGAAGAGTTAAGTTATTTTAAAAAAGTAGCACCGAGACAGTGCATAAGGACATGTTACTTTATTTACTTTTGCTCTTTTCAGTAGTGAAGTTCAGGATTGAAAGCTTTTAGAACTCAATATGGTGGAAAATCTAACAAAACTACGTAACAATTTTGGAGCTACCGAAAGTCCTTTCTTGATTTCGGCCCCCATCGCGAAATGGTTTCGCCGCATAAGTCGTAGCCTTTTTGTAGGCCTTTTTTATTGACCTGAAAATACAATTTAAATATTAATTAAGGTGAGATAAGACAAATAACGTAAAATTAAAATTTTTGATAAAATAAGCAGTAGGTAGTCACACAAGGGAGTGTACCCCTTTAATAAAATATTTGTCGTTAAGAAATACACACGTACAGCTACTACATCGGAGATCAGAATGGAGAGTTGTCGTAGCTCAGCGGTTATTTATTTATTAATGTCGTTCCTTGGCGCTCTAACGAGTTAACAACCTTGAACACACGAGCTCTCAAACAGGTTCTTGGTCGTCCACGTTAGCAAGTAAAATTACTAGCTTAACACGGTTCCTTCACGTTCAGTGTAGGCCCCTAACTTAACTTTCAACCGTCAGGCTAGGAGTGCGCCGTCCCATTAGTCGTAAGGGAGTCCTTCCGCTAATAGGCGGTTGGCGTATCCAGCTATCCATTCGTAGAGGGCCACGGTACATTTTTAAAATGCGAAGTCAGCAGCTCGATTCATAGTTCGTGGAGTGTATCATTGCGCACAAACCACGGCGCATTTGTTAAAAGGCACAGCAGTTCGTTTTGTCGCACTTGAAGAGAGGACGTTATTGCCAAAAGGTCGTAGGCCCAGGCAGAAGATGCATACTTCTAATTGGCCGAATGCACAGCACATTAAACCTTTGCTTATCGCGCAACAAATGTTTACTTTTGTGGCATAACAGAGGATATATCATCTGAGTCGCTGCCTTGACCTTCACCGCCAACTAATTTACGTGTGGGCGCCAAGACAATATAGAATCTATAGTGACCCCCAGGTATTTTACCTGAAAACACCACGTAATTTCCATACCGCTAAAAATTAACGGAACCTGCAGCGCGTGACGTCTTCGATATAAGAGGCGCTTGCTCTTTGCTGCGTTAATGGAGAGGTCCCATGACGACACCAGCTAGCAAGCGCGTCGAAATAAGTGTAAGTGCGGACATGGTAAAAAGGGTGACTTTTGACGAAGGATAAACCATCGCACCACCGGCGTAAATGGCGACCCGCGTGTGAGGGTGAACTGGAAGAGGCATGTCGCTCGTATAGAGCATGAACAGCAGTGGTGGTAGAAGAGGGCCTTGCGGTATTCCCACTGTAAGAAATCGACGACAGCGCAGCGCCTACTCATGCGTTGTGGACCCTGTCGGTTAGGTATCACTTGAGAACTTCTTGAATACCGCGCGGTATCGCCAAAGCAGGTAGCTTGCATAACAGGCCACCATACCGCTCAGTGGTTAAGAGCATTGAAGCGCATTCTTAAGGTCGTGGGTTCGAGCACCATCATCAGTTACTCTTCTTTTGGTAGGTCTTTGAGGGTTTAGTACGCAACCTCGCCCCCATAAATTCTAATAGTCTTTGCCACCAGTGTAGTGAATATCAGAGCTTCAAAAATAAAGTGCTGCGTTAACCCTTTCTTTCATAAACCGCCGGACACTAAAGTTGGCCTATTTTTATAAAAGTGATTATTTGCCTGTTAAAGTTAATTTGCTTATGTATGTTCATTTTTAATTTAAAATTTTTACTGTTTTCAACGCACGTTCGGTTGAAGGAAAATTAATAATGCAAATGCCTCACAAGCAACTTTTTGTGCGTGCTTGTTTGCGCATGTAAATTTTTATGTTAGTCCCAGTATCCGACGAGCAATGCAAAAAAAAAAAGTTGCTGACTGTCGTCACCTTTATCATCTTACTAGCGTCAACGGGCTTGATAGTATAACACAAGGAAACAAAACACTATGTAACTTCGATCAAAACAATGCAAACAAGTTTACCAAATTAAATTTACAGATAGAATGATATATTGCCAAATTATTACTATTACTAGGCGCTTGTTGACACATTAAAGTAGCGTGCTCTTCCGCAGTTCTTGAATTTAGTGTTGTTTACTCGTAGCTAATCTAACTTTGGCTCTTTTTCAGTTGGATGTCCTTTTTTTTCCACATAACATTCCTAAATTACCTGTATGATCTATGCTTGCATCTCATGAAGTAAACTTAACGCCAACTGTTAGGCAGGTTTTTGAAAACCTGGCAAAAGGTGACGAATTTTTTAAGACTATAACTCAAATTTCAATCTTTAAAGTAACTACTTGTTCCCTTTGTTCTTTCTGCCCTACTGCATTTTTAGCAAAGAAACAAGAACGGAAAAAATATTTTTTCTATCGCTCAAAGCTGTCCGGCCTACTTAATTTTACACAGTTCTCTTCCATATGTTGTCCAGATTACTAAAACCTTGATGTAGGCGAGTACATCTACGTCTAAGAAAAGCGAAAGGTTCATTGGTTAAGTAAATTTAGTGATTGTAGTAACTCGTAGCAATGACTTTTTGATTTTCTGCCTCTTATTTCTGTTTTAGTTATTGAACTCTAACCATTGTTAGGGTTGGTCGCAAGGGACAGAGCTAACTTAAATTTAGCTTGTTAGAACCTGCCGCTTGGCAGAGGGATATTTTTTTTATAATTAATTAAACTTTTATGTGTACTGAGTAATTATTTACAATTTTAGTTCAAGTCATTAACCCCTGATAATGACCGGTTGGAAATTTACACGTATTACAATGTTTGTTATCGTTAAAAAAACTGCGAGCACTTGGTTTGTAATATTACGTGCATACGTTTTATAGTATAATATTTTTTTTTAAGACCTTTTTCTGTCTATGTGAAAGAATTTGCAGTTTTTACCATACGGATTTTTTATAGTTTTAAAAGGGTACTTTCTTCGAGCTTCAAAATACTCGACATTGATCATCAGCAGAATGAAGGACTCGTTCTGAATTACTAATTTTTCATGCTCACGCTAAAAGTTTGTTGTCAGAAAGTTGTTTTCTAGCCCTAAAAATAAGTCAGATAAAATATTTTGAAACGTTTTTTTGCAACATTACTTATTCCAAAAACGTGTATTTAAGCCTAAAATAATGGTAAAATCTACTGACATAACCAGGCGCGTGTTTTGTGTACTTTTCTACTTACACTTTTTACTTACAGACCCCTCCCACTTTTTTCAGAGCTAGACATATTGACGGCTTCCCTCGACGAATCTCGTAAGCGTGACGGTAATAAAATATAAGGGGGCTTGTTACACTTTAAACATGGGCGCTTTTGGTTCAGGGTTAGTTACAAGTTGTTTAAAACTAATACTTAAATTTTAAATAAGTAGACTTTCTAATGCGCTAATACTAAATTATATATGTTTTTTTTAAAAGTCTCCTTTTTATTATGAATATACCTAAAAACGCTATTAAAAACTTGGTGCTTCCTATTTTTTTGTCTTCTTCTGGCCTTTCATAGTCTTTTCTTTTGTGGGCTGACTTTTCTTTTTTCTGGCTTGTGATACTTGTTCTTCCTTTCTTAATAAATTTCAGAATAAAAATTTAAATTAATATAGTTATTTGTTAAAAGTTTTAAAGCCAGGGATTAGCTCTTTAACTCTTTTCTTAAGGTAATTTGTGCTCTCAAGGTTAAGTCATATCAATAAGGGTAGTCACAGCAATGACGATTTGTTTAAGTTTTATTAAAAGACAAGGCATCTAGAGCAGATCAATATGTTTTTTTTCAAGGTGTCCACAAGTGTCTTTTGAGAGTTTATGATAATTGAAAAGTCATTTACTATATTGTTTTTTAAGCCTTTATTGGACTTCCCTTTAAAGTTTAAGAATGTAGCTCAGTGCATTCAGTCGGTAGACAAAGGTGCAAAACTTTTGAAAATTTTATACAAAAGTTATGCATACTAGTAGTATGAGGGATTAAAAACCCTACACGGGCTAATATAGCATGATATTTATAGAGGCGAGATTATACCCGCAACAATTCAAGGTTAAATAGAAGAAGTGTACCCAGACCATGATAACACATCAAACACTCTTATCGCTGAGCTACGAGGAGAACCCTCATTTTTTTCCACGCTAAATTATTTATTTAACCTTGTTTTACGGTGTCGGTAGAGAACTTCTTAAATGTTTCTTAAACCTTTCTCTCTTCCCCCTCTTCCCCCCCTCCCCACTTTTATGTGGATGTGCACTGCTTGTAAGGAACTTTGACCTTGGTTGCGCTAATAACTTCGTTACCTGTGAAGCCCAGCCCCGATCTTACGAGAATGTTCAGGGGTGGGCTGCTGTGCAGCCTCGCTCGGGTTAATTTAATGAGCAGAGATCCTTATACCTTGTTCAAATGCGCTTCTTTTGTAAAGTCGAAGTCCTTAAAATTTTTTTGGATTTTCCCTCCCCTCCTTTTTTTTGGTTTCTATGTAAGCAACAGAAGAAAAAGTTTGCAGCCTCAAATACAACAAAAAAATGTTTCTTTTTATAATTGGTCATGTACAAAGGAAGTAAACACTGAAGTTTTGTGAGTTTTTTTTTAAAACAATATATATTTATTAAATATTCTCTATTTACGATCGAGATTCGAGCCAACTTCACTTAAGGAATTAGTTGAGGTTGTTAAACAAGCAAATTTAAATAAGACAAAATTTAGGCCCGTAGGGGGTTATTTTGTTTAAATTGATTTTGGCTTTTTTTTATTATTTTTCGAAATAGCTGGCCTTTCTCCTTCAGGTTTAGGTTTCTGCAAAGAGGGTATGATAACCTTAGCTAAGCTGGAAAGCAAAATATGTGTCGACACTTTTAATAAGCGGGTCACACTTATTTCTTTAATTTTTCTTGCTTCGTTATCGTATATTTGGTGGTAGTAGGTAAACGTTACTGCGAATGTTACGGTGGGTATGTGTTATATTTGTTTGACATCCTTTTACTTTGTTATATATATTTTTAAAACATATTAGGTGAGTTAGCAGAGGAATTGCGGAAGTATAATCTTACTCTTGAAAATTTTGCCTCGATTAATGATCAGTCTGTTGGTGGTTTTATTCAAGCTGGCTGCCACGGCACTGGTGCTCTTGTTCCCCCCGTCAACGATCAGGCAAGTTTTTTTTTGGATTTTTGGGCATTTGGCAGGTTTATTTATTATGTTTGCAAGGTTGAAGGTCTGGTGCTAGTGACACCGGGGCTTGGGCCAATTAGAATTCTTCCAGGTACTCACACTTTTAAAGATACTCAAAATGAAGTGGATATAAAAATCATAGCTGATGACGAGTTGTTTTCTTTGGTAAAGTGTGGATTAGGCGGCTTGGGGATCGTTTATGAGGTAACTTTAAGGTGCGTCCCCCTCGAAAACTTAGAAGAAGTCACCAAGGTTTTCCGCCTTGAAGAGTTAAAAAAGATTCATACACGCCTTCTTCTGGAAAACAGGCATGTCCGTTATATGTGGTATGCTGGTATGCGCTACTCATCGGGGTTCCATCCTTATTTGTTATTAAAGGTACCCTTTTACCGACTCGGTTGTGGTAGTGACCTCCAATCCCACCAGTAAGACAGCCGCGCCAGTGGCCTTGTCGCACAGTCACTCCTTGAAGCCCCTTCGCGAAATAATGACCCACCGGACAGGCGGCCCCTCCGAGCGTCCGGGTGACCCCACAAGCCTCGCAGCCTTCCGAGATGCTCTCATCTCGCTGGACCCACTCAACGTAGACTTTATTCGGCAGGTAAACAAAGCTGAAGTCCAGTGCTGGAAAAACTTGGAAGGGACGCGGATAGGTACAAGCCCGGAAATACTTAGCTTTGATTGCGGCGGGCAGCAGTGCGTTTACGAAGTCGCCTTCAAAGTTGAGCAGAACTGCGCACACAATGAGAGCCCGGACATAGAGTTTGTCATGCGCCTTCTAAAGCGCATAGAGACCTTGAACATTCCTGCTCCCGCCCCGATCGAGCAGAGATGGTCTCAGTCTAGCTCAAGTATGATGAGTCCGGCATATTCCACTTCAATAAGCGATATATTCACGTGGATCGGAATAATCATGTATCTTCCTGTCGGTAGCGACCTGCACACGCTGAACGCTCGCTGGAACATAAAAGAAGTTTTTCACAAGGTTTACACCAAGGTACTACTCGAAGCGGGGCCAGTGGATCCCCTGCAGCTCAGAGCCCATTGGGCAAAGCTCGACCTTCCTGCCCCCGAGGGCAACGAACTAAGCGAACTGCGGGCTAAGCTAAGGAAGCAGTATCCCCTAAAACTTTATAACACCTACCGCCGACTGTTGGACCCAAACAGCATACTCACCAACCAATGGATGGACTTGTTGATTGCACAGAATGATTAAAGTTTGTGACGAACTTTATTGCTAATAAAAGGAGACGAGCTGGTGCGTATGAAAAAATAAGTTTTACTGCCGCTCCAATGCAACAAAGGAGTAGGACTTGGGACGTTCAAAAAGGCCGTAGTTTTTCTTGAACTCGGGCACATCCTCGATATAGACTACGTTATCCTGTTTCCATTCGTCCGGCACTGACACTGAGTCGAAGGGCGCCGTACAAGAGTGGCTCCACACGCTGATTGAGCAGCCTGATACCGCGTCTGGGTGAACTTTTTCCTCATAAAACTTTATAAGATCGCATTTTGAAATCTTTTTTAGTTCTTCAATGTCCCTTTCCGCTGGTTCGGTTAATAAAATATGAAATAAACCGCGAGCAGAAGGCATATGTACGGCAGCACACCTTTATCAAATTCGTAGTGGTCACCAATAATTTCCAGCCAATAGAGTGATGCTTCTTGGTTTAAGTTCTGAAAGAAAAGGCAATGTACACTCTTTCCATACGTCACATACTTAAATTACCTTAAACTTTTCCATTTTCATTTTAGTTAAAGTATCCACGCCCTTTTGAAACTCCTCCGCTGTTAATGATTCCAGCTCCTCCTACACAATAACGATGTTTTGAACGATAACCACATTCAGTTTAAATAGGAAACTTTTGTATGTCGCAGGAAATTGTCAACGCGGCTCTGCAGGTAGTACGGCGGTTTTTCGCTTTGGACTACAAATCTCATCCCTAATATGCCACTTGGCTGCAGCACGGAGGTGGCGTGGACTATGTAGCCTGAAAAAAGGAGGAAGGGAATCAAAAGACGTGCGCTGCCAGGCAATGAAAGACTACCCAGCTGCTCATTGGTGCGCAGTTGGTGGAAGAAATTTTCCTGTGTAAATTGGCTAAGTAGCTCCAGCAGCACGCTTGCACGCGTTTCCAACGGACCGACCTAGAAGCCTCACGATTAACTTTTACAAGGAAGAGACAGTTTGCTGCTGCATACTTACCACGTAGTAGTTTTCAATGGCACTATACGCATTGACTGTTTCGTTTATGCGATAGACAAAGCGCTTTCCTTCCGCAAAAAGAATACGTCATGTACATTAGATAGCAGAAGAACTACGAGAAACCCGAAGTATATTTAATGTGGCGCAGCAGAGCATACTCTTCGAGAGGAATATGCACTTTTGGGTGGACAAGAGGTTCAAACGCCTGGAAGACATCCTTAGCGCCCTTGAGGTCACAATGCTGACTGCTCTACAGCAAAGCTAATGGGATCGAAGAACAAACCTTTATCGAGTAATTGCCGTGAATGAACACTCGGGTGTGGACCTTACAAGAGAAGTGCTGAACCAAAGGCAGAGGGCAAGGCTATACCAGCAAGACTTACCCGCTTTAGTAGTGAGTTGCGGACAAATGCCTCCACCTGCTCGACGGTTATGTCTTCGATGACCTGCATGACAACAGAAGGCGTGCCGACAGAACCGGCTGATCTTAATATGTTGTGGAACCGCCAACTTATGTTCGTGGGTCCACAGACGCTCGCTGCATACGTAGTGCATGTTGTATATGCAGTGCGAGTAGCCCTGCTCAGCTGCAAAGTTCTCGAAGCGCCTTTTCAACTGCCAGTTAGCCCAGTTAAAGGATATTAATCAAGACCCACAAATAGCAAGCACCTTGCTTCGAATGGGTCCGAACCGCTCATGTTCGACTCTGAAGTCTTTCATTGCGCCTAATATTAAACAGCGAGAGAATTTGCAAGGCATTGCAGGGGGGGTGAAGTAAGGCCACCTATGACTTTTTCAAGCAACTCCTTAAGCTTGTGGTTGTATCCCTGAACATTGAGAGAGAGGCCTATAGAGTTGGTTGTTCTAGTAACTTTATAATTCGGCTCAAATGAAATAAATAGAACCAGAAGTGGTGTTTTCCAAGTGGTAATAGACACCAGCGAGCAAAGCATCGTAGGCATACTCCGCAAGGTTATCCTATATAAGGCAGATGATAAGGCGCCCTGCTAGCGGGTAGAAAACTGGCAAGAAACGCAGCCTTTAGGATTTCCACGAATAGATGACTTAATACGGCTTCCGTCGGGTTTAGATAGGCGGCCTTACTGTAGACAAAATACAGATGAATGCTGCAACAGTACAGAGAAGACTACGAAGAACCTCGTGATTCCGGCCAAAACTATAGCCTTCGGAAGGAAAAACTTATCGTCTTGCTTAAACCAGAGCTGCGAGTTCCCTTCACCTGCGACCGCAAGAATAAATCAACGTGCGGTTCTTTTCATAAGTATGACAAGAAAATTACTTGAAACCAGCACGGGATGCTCATGCTGGTTGTCGAGGGGAACGATCTCGAAATTAGTGGGTATAAAGTTGTTTCTACTCGGTAGGAAGAGCTCTTCGTTCGGACTATCAGTGCTGCAGAAAACACCACAACGACTCCTTACAAGTACAACCAAGAAGCACCAGCACCTTTATACCTAAGCAGCACTAGCAGCTCCGGATCTATATCCTCCGATGAGTACTGGGTCCCGTATATGCTTTCTATTTCTGTGGTGTGGCCTACTCGTGACGTATGATTTTATAGCCAACTAGTCGTACTAGCGGTAACAGAGTGCCTTGGAAGAGCGGAGAGACCACAGTCAATCGCAGAGCTTCCGGAGTAAGAAGGCGCAGGCACGAAACAATGAGCTCCGGATTGTACTCGTAAAATAGATATGGAGCGCCCAATAAACACTCCTTCGGGTAATACTATTTTTGCAGACAAGTGATCGCATCAATACAAGAGGACTCGGACGTGGCTTACGTGCATGTTGGACGCTAGGGTAGACGCGTAGCAGTCCGGCCGCTCTTTGTCTTTAAAGCGAAAATGTATCTCACCGAGGCTTTTGCACTGCCGTAGAATGCCGTAAGTGAAAAAGACGACGGGCGGGTCAACAAGCAAAAGGGCTGACCTCCTGGAATATCCACTCTTGAGGGAGCTCTCTTTTGAGAAGATTTAAATACTGAAACAAGGCGACAACAATTTCTTCGAAACTCTCTGGATAAATAGCAAACTCAGAAGCGGCAGGGGCTGCACCAGCGTAAAGAAGCTCACCAAGCCCCTCTTCAGTCAAGTCGAAGTAGACTCGGAAGGTCCCGAAAACGCCGGCAGTGCTCTGGCAATCTCCAGCATTGATGCCAGTCGCCCAGCCTGCGGAGGCGCGCCGGCCCGCCAGGAGGGATAAGGGGCATGATTTTTATATCAATTAATGGGGGACCTTTCTTTTTAAGGAGAGCCAGCAGGCTGCCCGGCCCCTCGTGCCCAATGAGATGCGCAATGTAGATGGAGGGCTGTCCGCGGCAGAACTTAGCAGGCGGTTAAAAGGCCGTGGGAGAGGTTGTACCTTTTCGCGGTAGTACTTTCGGGCGTCACAGAAGAGGAAGCAAACCTCGAGGGTATGATGTTTTTTGACAGGAATTACTTTGTAGATTTTCTGTAGAGAAGCATGGAGTCTAGGATACTACTAATAAAGATGCTCTCTACCACCTTCAAGTGCTCGGGGAGGTAAGGCTCACCCTTCAACTCTGGTTTTATAACATCTTTGTTGCTAACGCCAGAAAAAAGAGTGGTAGCCATTTCTTTGAGCTCCGACAAGCTTTCTTCCAATAAAGAATGGCCAGGATCGGATCTCAACAAGTTTAGAGTGAAATAGCTGTAAAGCGGAAACCTTTTCCCACCAGACATAGACTCATCAAGTTGGCGGAATAGTATTTTTTATAAAACTTCTTTAGTTCATCCCGGACTACAAGCCCTAACTTACGGGGAATAACGCCAAGAGTCTCCATATTACCTACACGGAAAAAGGTCCCTAAGCTATACTTAACACCAGTAGCGGGCGTTCTAAAGTTCACCAGTTCCAAAGTTTGAGTAAGGATGCTCCTGATTGGAAGTCCATTTGTCCAGCTGATGCAACCTCCAGAAATCTTGCTGAAGATTCTTATCGTGTTCTGATAGGTGTGTACGGCAAATGGCACAACCGCTTAAAAAAAAAATGTGAAGAGCCCACCCGCATTAACGGCAATCACTTCTTTGTCTTGAGATGTGGGATTAAATAATGGGCAAATAAAAAAGTGGCACCATCTATTTACATATGAATATAATAAATTAATTAAAGAACCGAATGGAGGATAAAATTCAAAAAAATATTTTGCTAACATCTCTAAGGCCTCTTTAAAACTCTCGGACTGAACATCAAAGTAATAGTTTGTATGTTCAGAAGAAGTATATGCATTTGAACTTCCACCGTTTTGAGCTAGAAACTGTTTGAATCTCCAACGCTTAAAGAAATTTTAATAAAAAGTGCAAAATAAAAACCTTAGAGAAGCAGTTCTCCTCTGGATACTGTTTTAAAAAAGAAGATATTACTCATTTGGGAGAAAGACGTATTTTCAAAGATGAGGAATTCAGATAAAAAATTTAGTACTTTCTCAGTTCCCAAAAATAACATATGCTCCAAAAAATGAGCCAAACCGGGTATTTCTTTAGGATCATATAAATTCCCTTTTTATAATATTTAACAAGTTACCTATTTTTTTTTAACTGCCTTTTACCTACAATCACATCTAAGGCGGCGGCCGATTTGTCGCACTCTGCATCATGAACAACGCAAACCTTGAGTTTGTTATCTAAAATAAAATAGTCGTACTCTCGCTTATCGTTTTCCGACTTGTGCATACTTTTTGATGCCACCGCACTAATTACGTTAATAAAAAAATTGAGATGGTTCAGCCCTAACAAATGGTTATGAATTTAGTAATAAAGTGCATAGTAACTAAACCGCGTGCCCTCGGTTAACCCTCCAGTTATTAATCGAGTTTCTTATCCTTTTATATCTTTAATTTCATTTATTATTAAAATTTCCTTTAACGTCCAAAAGCATTTAGTGTTTCATCTTTAAGAAAGGTTATAGTTGGGTTATAAGTATTTTATGATAGAGGTATAGTTGGATTATAAGTATTTTATGATCGAATTGAGTACTGTTGCAACGTGATAAACCTAGATCAACCAACCTTCTTTATAGTACTTCAATAGAGATAAAAGCCCAATAGTATTACCAGTGGGGGTTGGGAAAAGAAATTTATCTTAATTTCCTATTGACTTGTGTATGAGGTGTGAGACTTTAATAATAAAGACAATTGCATATGAAGACATTTTTTGTTATTTATAGCTTTATTGTTAATTAACTTAATTCTGTATACGTATTGGTATTAAACAAATTATCTGTTTACGTTAACACTAAAGATAGCTCAATTTAATAGTCTTCGGTATAAGTATAGACGATTTGGTGAAACCATACTAACGCTATGCAATGAAGGGATCTTGGAAGCTTAAGGTGTCTATAAATATCTAGCAACTTTAGTAAAGGTAGTATATATGAAGTCACCTTAAATAGTTGCTCTCACTAAATTTATTTAAGACAATCTTGACTAACAGAAGAAATTTTTAGAATTAAAAACTTTGGCTTTTACTTTTTTACACCTATAACTTTTTGTTTTGCTACTTTATATGATTTAAACCTACTTATCTTTTTCAAAATAGCTTTTGAGTAATTATACTTATAAAAGAACTATTAATGAGCCAAAAAAAACTTACCCGGTTTTCTATAAAACATATTGATGCAAAATGAAAAAGAAGAAATAAAAAATAATAATACAAAATTCATACCAATCATCCGAGTCATCCTTACGTTTTGTGTTAACAATAAATCAATTGACTAAATTACTACGATAAATATTATTGGTTTGTATAAGGTTAGTATGCAAACTTTTTTTAATAAAGCGGTCTCAAGAATTCGAGCGATAAGACTGCACTTTTGACAGCGTGTTAAGCATATATCGTATTTGTTCAGTCTGACTCCAGCGTTTTTAAAAGTTATAGGTAAATTTGGTTGAACGAAACTTAAACAAGTATTTGAATAAAAATAACATAAATTATTACGAATAGGAAGATCATTATCAGTATAAAAGCAGTAAAGCAATAAAGAAGGGAGCCCCACGAAAATTTACTTGAAGATAGTTGTTAAAAATAAATCTCTTGGAGAGAAAAGATTGACTAAAAATTCATTTATTATAGTAAAAATAATAAGAAAACAATTAAAATAAAATATAAGCCGACCCACTAGATAAACTGTGCAGGCACTAGAGGATTACCCTTTATCTCTGCTTTAATATTATTTATTTATTAATAACAGTTTTCCGTTGTTGGAACGAGTTAAAAACTTCGAATACTAGAGCTCTCAAACAAGAGTGATCGCAGATATATTACAAGTAGCATTCAGGGTGTTATTTTTTTTTACATTAACAGAAAAAATAAAGCTAGCGCCTAGCGCGTCACGTTGGCGGCGTTAACTTGCCCGTCCCTAGCAAATAAGTTCGCTCACCAGCAGCCAATTAATTTGCCCGGTGAGCCTGTCATAAAGGACCGCGGCATGGAATTGGAAGAACAATGTTTAAAGGGCCTAGGGGTACAGCTCAAGGCCCCGGTGAAGAGCATCATTTCGTATAAACCACGGCACCTTTGTCAGAACACGCAGCAATTGGTTCTGTCGCACATGAAGTACTGACGCTATCGCAGTGAGGTCGTAGGCCTCAAGCAGTGGACGCGGAATGTCATTATTGGCTGGATGTCGGACGACAAATACAATTGCCGTTCGTTTCGAAGAGAAAGCTTACTCTTACCGCAAAGTAAACGATCAAGCCTTGGTTGTCGCCTTGACCTTTACCACTACATAATCCACGTGAGGCCGCCAGGAAATTTTTTTGTCAAGATGACTTTCAAGTATTTCGCCTGAGGAAACCATGGGACCTTCACGCCCCATTAAAGGTTAAGGCACAAACAAAGGGACGTGTTCTTTGAAATTAATATGGTATTGTTCTTCATCACGTTTATAGTAACCTTCCAAAAGCGGCACCAGAGAGCAAGGGCGTCAAGATGGTGCTGTAGATGCTTGCATAGCAAGTCTGGAGTATTTAGAAGAGGAATATACGTTCGTATCAGCGTAGAGGACGATTCATGGGGGTCGGTGGGAAAGCAAGGGCACGTTGCTCATATAAATTGCAAATAAAAGGGGCGAGGGAAGTAATTCCTTGGGCTCCTGCTGTTGGAGATCGAAGCGGTGACGGTGTATCTCCCACGGGGACGGTAAAGACTCGACCGTTCAGGCATGTTTTTAGCACGTTATAAAGGCCATGAGTGGCGGATAACGAGCGCATTTTGTGCAGCAGACCTTCATATCAAACTTGATCAAAGGCCTTTTCAACGTCAAGGAAAACAGCGCTTGTTGCCTTCTTTTGGTTAAAAGCGCGAGTGGTCGTTCAGTTAAGCGGAGGAGCTGCTGGTTCGTTGAGTACTCTTGCCGAAATCCAAACTGAAACTCCGGTAAAGCTTTCCGAGCGTCAACGACCTCACCCACTTTGCCGGCCGCTGACAGTAGACTGATGAGTAGGTACTTGCTAGATGCTGATTCCGGTTTAAGTGTTTTTGGTAGCAGCTCAACGCAATATTAATTAACTTAAGTGGTTCATAGTTAACGGGAACGGGTAGCTCAGCAGAAGGAACGCATCATTATTAGCAGTATAGTGAACAGCTGGCACGTTTTGGATAGCAATCTCTATTTAATCCCAGTTGTAAACAAGCTTTACAGTCCAACTTAAGAATAATCATTACCGGAACTTAACATCGTTTCAACCAATCGTTTTTGAACTATGCGTGCTTGCTTAAAACTCAGTTCCATAATTGTATATGGCGTTATTTAACACCATGTGAGTAGGGGTGATTGCGCTGTAACTTTCACATAGTCACCACGCACCAAGGTCGTGGAAGCTTTCACGAAGGTGAGCTTATATTTTAGCTGTCTGTTTTTTTTTGAAGAGTAAAGAAAGTTCTTTTAACAGTCTTAGGTTACAATCGGAGATTTTTTGGATCACTCATGCTAAATAACTCGGCATAATAATTGACTTCACACAACCTACGATATTAATAAAGCGAAGGTTTCGAAAAGCGCCCTTAACCCCTTTTTGTGCAAAAAGAAAAATAAGCTGTGCCTTTAGTAAAAAGCTAATTTTAAACAAGTACCCAGTAAGACCTGCACTCACTTACTCGTCAATCGCGAGGGTCTGTTTGGGAGCTATTACTAATCGTCTACAAACTCTACGGAACAACTTTCTTGTTATGCTAACCGGGGCGCCTCTACTGCGAATAAATAATGAGCCTTTCAAAGAAATTCCTTATTCAAGAAGCAAACAAATGGGTTTAGATATAAGTATTCATCTAGCCAACCTCCATTCGAAGTTATAACATAATTTTAACTACTACACCATATACAAACGGCCCAAAAGTAATTCTCAGGAACCTATAATTTTAGTAGTAACAATAATAATACCAATACTAGATAGTTATACTAATAAAAGTAAACATGATATTAGTGAAACAAAATTTACAGTAAATTTTTTATAATAACAGTATACCAAAGTAATAAGCCGATAGTTACACCTATAACATTTGAAAATTCAATTACGAAATTGTAACTTCAAATTACGGTGGATTAAGGATTAAACAGTTGTGCCCTCAAGTCTCCAATGTGGCATGTCACTTCATTAAAAATCAAAATTTTCGCTTTGTTTATTAAAGAACTTTTAGAACTTTCATTTATTTTGCATATGATGCTTTTCGATCTGGCAGTTAATTATATGGTAAAGCTAGACGTCCTTAAATTTTAATTGATACAAAAATAAAGGAGTTATGGTACATTGTATATCATATAAGATTGCAATGAAAATTAATTTTAAAAAAAAGGGTACTTTAAAAAACAATAGGTACAAGCAAGGAGAATAAATTATTTAAAAGCTAAAAATAAACTATAGACAATATAATTAACCTTTTTTATAAATTGTAATTGAAAACCACTATAAGAGAATGACCCCCTGTTTAACAAAATGACATACAACTTAACGAACTTTGATGTATGAAACTAAAATTTAAAATAATATATTTATCTTCTTATCTTTTTCTATGTATCTAAATCTTGAAGTGTTATACCTATTAGCGAAATTAATAAACAACAAACTGTTGTAATAAACCAATATTAAAAATATATATTGTTGCTCCTCAGTTCATTATTCATCCTAACTTTGAACTGTTTTTTTATTTCTATAACCAGAATTATGTTATAATAACCTATTGGATTAGTACTTATATAGTTGGCATTTGTAAAAGTTGAGTGTACCGTACTAATTATCCTTTTGACGAATTAAGCAGTTAAATTTTACAATGTATGAGCTCAGATATATGCATTTAAGCATTAAACCCAAAAATTGTCAGTTCCTTCAATTCAACTACATTTTTCAGTGCACTCAATCTATTCTTTCATCTAATTACCCCCTTTTAATTTATTTTTATTTGGTGTAGGTAAGTTAAAAGTTACAAACCCAACAATCAGATAAAAGGAAGGTATGATTTGCACCTTCGTATTGGTAAATAATTTACGTTCAAGAAAAAACTCTCCAGGTCATGTGACCTCGTACAATGTTGACAACAACGATGTAACTTTAGGCAAAGCATTTGGTGTGAAAGTGAAATGTCACGACATAGAGCATTCCGAAATAACCAGAAATACTGTATAACTAAATCTCCGTTAGATCTATTACCTCTTGCTAGATAACGCTGTATAGTAACTTTGTAAACCTTATTTCTTTATTTAAGACATTGACGAATATTATGACGACCTTTCCAGTGAACAAGATTCCTCTGGAAGTACCGGTGGTTTTTTACTAAATACTTTAAATAATTATTATTAATATATGTTGTTTTTATTTAGTATCTAATTTTATTTAACGTTTTATATATTTACAAAAGACTTAGAAAACTATAATACTAAAGTTAAAGCTACCGAAGGCTCTAGTGAGGGTAAATTTTATAGTTTTCAAAATTCAATTTCTTCTACTTTATGTTTGAGGAGCTATCATATATACTTAACCATTTAATTTTATCTCCTCAACATTATAGCGCGCTTAGAATATGCTTTAAATGTCGTTCAAGAGGTTTTAGGTAAGGAACTACATTCCGAAGAAGAGATAGTTAAAGTAAGTTTGCGGAATACTAAATTTTATGACTTGTGCTTTAGTATGTTTTTTTTATTTTGAATTTTACCTTGTGGAGTGTTTTTCATATTATGAGTTTATATACTATGCTACATCTATATAAAGGCTTTAGAGGAGCGAAATTATGATTACGAATTAGTTATTGATTTACTTTTAAAGCGAAACGAAAAGGACAGGAAAAGGGTCGGTTCAGTTTCTAAAGGAAGGAAGAAACAGGACCCGCGCTCACGTGTGGCGGGCCCTACCAAAACAAAAGAGACTGTTAAACTTAGCAAAGAAACTAAAGAAACAACAGAAATTCGGTTTGTGAGCAACTGGTTTTATTTAGATCCAACTAAATTATAATTTACTAGTGTAGTAAAGGAGGGCACAAAAAAGGAGAAACCCACAGATGGCTTATTAGCGAACTTTTCCGGTAAGTCTTTTTTTATCGGCTTTCAATCTTTGTTGTTTATATTTATGTTTTATTATTCCTTTCAGTTTAAGTTTTTTAAACTACTTTAAAAAAGATGTTATTTTGTTTTGTAGTTACACACTTGAGAGGATTTATTTTCTTTGCATATATTATAAACTTTTGATGCTTGTAACTTTCTGTACACTATTAAATATAGACTTAATATATCCTCCTTTATTGTGAAAACAGATAATAAGTTATATTTTCATCTATTTATTTTTTCAACCTTTTAAGTTTAAATTCTGTTGACTTGTTTTGTATTGCTAAACTTTTGCGAGTAGAAGAAAGTCAACATATTTAGTCTCTATTAATATAATCAAAAAAAAAACTGTTAACTGTTTGTTAAGCGTGTGTAATTTTATATTGATAATAATCTTTTAATAGGTAACGTTACTATTGATTATTAAAATCAAAATATTTAAAAGTTACTGTATTGTAAATTTTTTGCTTTTATAATTTAAGGCCTCCGCATTGGTGGGAGTTTTTCTAAGAAGGAAGTCGGAGGCGACGAAAAGCCTTCAGGTCTAATGATTTGCGCCTTTTACTTTTGGATTTTCGTTGCGTTGCTTACTAAATGATCATAAAAGTCTGCTGGCTTTGTAGCAGCCCGTCGTTGATTCCACATAAATTCTTACGATTCTTTAAAAAGAGTGCACTTATTCTGCTTGTATTTGGCCACACTCTTATATAGGCTTTTGATTGGTTGGATGCGTTGTCTTCTATGCCGGTTGGCTGTTTTGTTCTTTAAATTTACATATGGTTCATAGGCGGGTGTTGTCCGCTCTGTTATTTGCACCTTGCTATATATTTCTTACCAAACTGGTAATTAATTAGAGCGCCACCTGCACCGCACAAAATTTTCATATTTATAATAAATTATCTTAACTACACTATAAGAGAATGTTAATTTTGATAAATATATTCTACACCACCACCATTGTTTTTTTTAGCTCCTAGAATTTCAAGTAAAGTTGCTACTTCTCTGACTAGCAATGACAGTGTTGTCAACCTTATTGTTATTGGTACTTTTATACTTCTAATATACAGTGAACCAACTTTTTGTAGTGAACTTTATGTGACAGGCCACGTGGATGCCGGAAAAAGTACTCTGCTTGGCCATCTGCTTCAACTGGTCGGCGCTGTGGAAAAAAGTCTCGTTCACAAGAATGCAAGAGACTCGGAGAAAATCGGCATGTGAAAGCTATTTGCTTTAGTCTCATTACCTGTGCACTTCCCGCAGGGAAGTCGTCCTTCCGGTACGCGTGGGTGCTGGATGCCACCAGCGAGGAGCGCTCGAGGTCTACTCCGCTTAACTTCCAACTATAGTGACATATCTGGAAAGACGTACTTGTATTGGCCAGAGGCGTTACCATGGACATTGCGTTCTGCCACTTTAGGACCAATTCGAAGCTTATCACCGTATTAGATGCCCCGGGTACTTATTGCCTTCTCCACCTTCAAGCCCTTTTTTCTGATCTTCTGATGAGGCCATCGCGATTTTGTCCCAAAGATGATTTCGGGAGCCACGCAAGTATAATATATATCACGCAACTATTGTGTACTGTATGGCAGTGTTTTCAAAGAAGAGTCTTTAATTACGTCACAACACATACCCGCAGCCGATTTCTTTAACAGTTCTTTTATTAATTGGTATTAACCCATATCTGGGGTTTACGTCATATTTAAGGCGGATGCTGCGCTTTTAGTAATTGATGCGAATTATGGCGAATTTGAAACCGGCTTCACGGCAGGTCGTGTACATCCTCGCTGGCTCCTTATTATTAAGTCGGCGACGCATTAAAGTTTGGAATATAAAAGGAGGGCAAACTCGGGAGCACGCCATCTTGGCTCGATCTCTTGGCGTCTCTCAGTTGGTTGTTGCCGTGAACAAAATGGATCTCGTTGGTTACAGTGAAGCTCGCTATAACGAAGTGGTCACGTGTCTACGCCTTTATCTGAATAAGCTTGGCTAGTTTGGCTCTTTATTATTGTCAGCACATATTAAGCTCCTCGACTCTTGTAGGTTATAAAGACACTGCTCTAAACTTTGTGCCGTGCGGCGGGTTTGGTGGTGTCAACTTAGTAACCCTCGCCGAACCGGCACTCAAAAGTTGGTACGCAGGCCCCACACTCCTGGATGCTATTGGTAGCCCCGATACTATATGCTATATTACCTGTTCGTTGTATTCACTTTAATAGACGCCTTGAAGACTCCAGATAAACTTGTCGAGAAACCTCTGCGCCTCTGCGCCATTGACGTGTACAAAACGCACAGCGGCGCATTTATATTCGGGAATGTTGTTACCGGTATCTGCTATTTGCCTAAAGTACTCATGCTACGCCCCCTTTAACTCTGCTAAGGTCGAGTTGCGGTGGGCGATGAGGTACTAATGCTTCCGGGAGCTGCGCTCGCTAAAATAAAAGGTACTGCGGGTTTGTTTTGGCACCGGGTTCCCCATTTTTATCGAGGGCTCTTCTCAGCTATTACTGTTCGTAATGAGGAAAAGATGTGGGCGCTTGCAGGTTGTTGTTTTACTTTAACTGTCCGCCAGGTTTATAATAACGGGCTACGGTCGTGTGACCATCTGGCTTATACCATCCGCAGGTGACTCTTTACAATTTTCCTGCCAAGGAATAGAGCTCGACCACTTTCGGTTGATTATCACATATTTTTCTTTTATTCATTTCCAACTCATGGGTCGTAGGAAAGGGAGTTTTTTTTGCGATAAGCAAGCTTTAATGGCGCCAGCAAGGAAGTTGCTTGCAAGAGTGTATGTTTTCAAGCTTGAGATCCCCATCATCAAGGGAACTTCGGTTGAGCAGTTATTATTTTTCGATCCTACTGGCCCTTATTATGGCCGGCAGGTGATCTTTTACTTCTACAAAAACGAAGAGACCGGCTACATCACGAGGCTTATAGAGACTAGCAATAAAAGTTCGGGTTCTTCAGTTAGGAAAAATCCCCGGTATCACCTTCCCCATTTCACTTTATATGGAAATAATGTATATTTAATGGATTGCAGTTCCCTATCCAGCGACTCCTCTGCCCTCATTGAAATTACACTTTCTTGGTTTACTATAACTCCACTCTTTCACCATCTTGAATTATCAGCTTTCATTTAGCACTCTATATTTTGATCTCTCTGTTAAAAGTTTAAGCCGGTTTACTCTTCGGACTCGGGGAAAGACCATCGCAGCGGGCCTTGTAACAGAGGTGCTGCCTCTAGAATATATATAATAATAATACTATAAATATTATTAATAGATTATTGCGTAAACTAAGGGCTCGACCTGCTTGACTGTTAATAAGTGTAGTAGCCGCTGAAAAAATCTATTGAGCGTTTTATTAAAATTTTATATACTCTATGGTATTTGCATAGCATCTTTGGTCTCTCTAGAAGCGAGGAGGCTGTTGCTGGTGAAACGTGTGTCCGGGCAGCAGACTTCATGATTGGCCGGGCACACAACACATATATTGTACAAAGTAAAGTATACAATGTTCTACCACTACTTGTTACCGGCTTGGAGATACACCCGGATTACCTCATCTGCCAAGTTCAAAGGTAGCGGCTGCGGTGGTGCAATGCGCTTCCACACGATAAAAGGACTTTGCTTTTTTCCCCAACAATAGTAATTTAACAACGACGCCACTAGCTGGCAAGCGTGCCTAGGTAGCACTGCGCCTGATGGCTCAATAAGGCCGGAGTAAATTCCCTTGCTATCTGTGTATGCTAATTGTCGGACTGTGGATCGTCGCGCACATATAGAGCAAAGAGCAAGAGTGGTAGGAGAGACCCTTGTTGAACCCTAACGTTATTATTCTTGGGGGCAAGTATTCATCGCTACCCGTGGATTAAAGATGCTGTCTTTAAGGAAGATAAAGCCATCGGTCATCCATTCTGACTGGAGGATAACCCGTTGCGTCGTTGAATGCTCTTGTTGAAGTGCAAATTAATATCCAGGAAGGACATGTTTGCCTCAACAAACGTTTCAAGTGGCGCAGTACTGCGGCTTCAGTTACTTAGCCAACCGCCCCATGAGCCTAATAGATCGGTATGGCCACGGTGGTTTTAGGATAGTAGCCGTCTTTCATCGCGACGGAAAGAAGCAAAGAGCTTTCGTCCAGGTAACGAGGCAGTATAAACGATCCACTGCCACCATTCGAACCCGCCGGGGCCTAGGGTTTGCTGTCTCCATAATTTTGACTAATAAACGGCGTAAGCTACTCTTTGGCATTAACTAGGGAGTTTGGTTGACAAAGGATTTTATTTGCAACCAAAGAAGCAGCTGGCACACACTGCGCAGCGAGGTGTTAGCAATAAAAAAGCCGTTTTATCTACGTCAGCTTCCACCCATTAAGCCTATTTTCGGAAAAGGGGTAGCAGTCACAGTAAACTGTCAGAAAGGGGCGCTGCGTTATACCCAGCCTCTGATTTTTAACTCAATTTTGCCTCCCATTGGCTGTGGTGTCTTAACAGCTCTTTCCTATTTTGCCAGTGTAGTCGATTAGCGGACGTTGTGACTCCGTGGCCGCCCTTATATGGCGTTGACTCTTGCAAGTAAGCGCTTTCTATCCTCATGCAGAGGGTTAGGGCGGTACTCAACTCCCAAGTGGTTGTGATGGTGTGGCATGTCATGATCACTATCCCTTGACTTTAATATTAACTACATTAAGTAGGGCAGGGGTTGTCTGTAGTTGAGGGGGGAGTGTCCGAAGGACTTTGCCTGTAAAAAAATATAGTTAGTCCTCGGTGTTTCCTTTTAGTCGTCCAGCTCAAGCGGGACAGGCAGATGGCAACACCTAAAGTTTGTAAGGAGACTTAACTGTCGTGGACAGATGCGACGATAATCAGCTCGTTCGATTTCCCGTCTTTCCTATGTGCGTTGAACAAGGTGGCTCTGATACGCGCACTCAGGCCGTCATCGGAATAATTTTCGAGGATTTGGCCTTTAATTTTTCGACGCGGCTGTTACAAGCGGGATGCTTGTAAGAAGGACACCACACAAAACAGCTGAGGGTCTACTTATAAAGGCGTCAAAAAGGCGTCAAAATTTGAGGTTTTAATGGCTCGCTGGGGGTTGGAGGACTTATCAGCTGCACTACCTAATATGAGCCCCTAATTAGTTGAGCAGAGGGAAATTTCGCCTGCTTGAATGCTTTTTAGGGTTTGCAGAAATATCTCCTTGTGTTAAATGTTAAGTTTGACCAGAGCAATTAAGTTCTTTCGCCACAGGTTTGTTGTCCATGTAGCAAGGGTTAGGGTAGCTCTTGGTCCTTATTGTGGCTGCGTTGGTACCACAGTTTGATTGGTTGTTGTAGGCCTTCTCTGGTAATGTTGCAGCTACAATAGTTGGAAATGTGTGCTTCACCGCAAATTGCGTTTTGTGCTTTTGCGTATTGCGCAGTCCCTCCCCACAATCGATATATCGGGTAGTCGTAGAGCAGAAAGTTGCACTGTGTTTAAAAGACCTGGTAGAGATGGCGTTGTCTCAAGCGGTTTGTCTTTGGGAGCTCCTTTTCTCTAACCAGCAGGTGGAAAAACTTCAAATCCAATAGCTTTCGTCGATCACACCTCGGTATATGCATTGGAACACTGATAAAGGGCTCTTCTTGTTGACAATCCGTAACGCCTTGCATGCGCAATTCTTTCTCGATGGTTGGAATGTAGCAATCGCAATAGATTGCTTGGAGTACAAACTTAAAAGGCTTGTCTTCTGGTAATTAATGGGTAAAAGGTGGGGTAGAGCTTCAACACACGTAAGGGATGTTTTGGCGCAAATACATCCGCTCTTACCGAAAATATTTTAATTCCTTAACGCCGGTCCCTAATCTTCGGACTTTTGGAGGGAGTTTTTTAAAATGATGCCACTTCTGTTTTTCAAAAACAACAAATGGCTTCTTTTTTTTTTATTTCGTCCCAAAAGATGCATCGGCTAAAGGTCATACGGTGATGCCGGCGGAATTGACGGCATTGTGAGAAGTTCTCTAGCTCTAGGCCCAACCCTTTTTGTGTTCTTTCGAGGACTAAACTGTTTAATTACTAAAAATAGAGTTTTTAGTGTCTTTACTAGTAATTTTACTATTTCGGTTGTTACAGTTATAACGAATAATGGTTTTTTATTACTCTAATTAATATCACTATAGCTAAGTAATTAGAGATTTACCTAAATAATAGGGAAACCTACTATTTGAGCATACGAAGAAACCTTGGGGACTTTATAAGCGTGTTTAATTTCTTGGTATCAAGAAGGTAAGCTTTCTCTATCGAGAAACAAACTGCACACTTAAGATCTTCATAACAATCAGTGGGTTAGTCCATGACATCGAAACAACTCAGAAAACTAATCTCTACAGTAAGATTAGCCACCGGTTTCCTAAACAAGTTTCCCCTAGTATTTCTTACTTATTTATGTGGACTTGGTTGTGGTTTTTATTAGTACTAACACCATTAATATAACTGTTATTTATTGTTATTGTTGTTGTTTTTTTGTGCATTTTTATGTTACCACTATTTTAAGGATAGTTTAAGTAAATTCTCTTCTTCTCATACAAGACCAAAGTTCATTAAGTGGTTGAAGAGTAGTGTAAAGGTTCTTTTCTGGGAGGTTATTTGCGTTCTTTAGTTTCATTTTTTACAGGAGATTAGTTATCGATACCCTTTAATTTTAAATTAATAACTCTTAGCTCTTTACGGAGATCCTCAGTTGTAACCAGTAGATTAACCGTATTCCATTTTAGAACCTCTCCCAACAATTAGGAGCCCATTATATCCGTGTTATTTATAATAAAGTTAAAAAAAAAAGGTCCAAGTTTGCCAAAAGTAAGCTTTTAGAAGCACTCCTGTATATAACCAAGACTTAGAAATCATATTAGATAACAAAGTAAGCATTTTTTATTTTTTTTTTTAGCACTGGCATACTACCCTAATCCGGATTCCCTTCTTCTCTAGGGGTTGGGGCACGAGTGCCTACCAGTGTACATCGTCCTTTAGAGAGCTCTAATGACTGTCCCGCAGGACTGAAAAAGTGGGGGATATCGGGTTCGGCCTCCCGCCAGTCGGTCTATTGTGGTGGAAAACCGCTAAAAACCACTACCGGGAGAGGCGGTCTTAGGCAGAAGACCCGAGGCCACCTGGGAACACCAGCCAGAACCAATGCCTGCTAGGTCTCCCCGACTAAAGTACGAATTTATAGTGAAGTAAATTATATATTAATAAGGTTCGTCTCTTGCTATGTGCACACGTGCAAAGCTTATTGCTTATCTAGAGACCAGGCAAAATACAAAAAAGCAATAAAAGGTTTTTTTGTCATTAACTAATGAGTGCTTTTTATAGCTCCTATCTGTTATTCTTTCAACACAAGTGTAGAGCAATTAACTACTTGTTCTGTTGTCGGAAGGGTTCTGTAAACCAAAAATACTCCAATATAACGAAAAGAGGTTTAGTGGTTGATACTATTAGATCCCGTCGTCCTTTCAAAGAAACTCAAAATTATTGAGTTCCAGGTCAAAATGTAGTATTAAAAGAACTGCTGGAAGGCACAGTTGTAAAGATGATACAAAGATGCTTGAAGCACTTGGTGGGGTTTTCGATAGATTAGTCATAATGTAGGTTAGTACGTTCTATCCCTGTGTCCATATATATTTGTATTTTTTGGGTGCATTGCGTACAAAGCTCAAGAAGTGGTGCCACTTAAAGACTCGGTAAATTTAATTAATCCAATAAAGAGGGGGTTCATAATAATTCTACGCCATATTAGTATTCACTCTACCGAGACGCGAGTTCTTTATAGGTTTGATTAAAACATCGAATAAATAAGTATGACTCGCTGGACGTAAATAGTGGGGGGAAGAGGATATCACTTCTTAAATCTTTTGACTTTACTGCAGATGACCTCTTAATCATTGTGTACAAAGATCTCTAACTTCTGTACACACAAAAATGTTATCTAAAGAGTTATCGATTAGGTTCTGGCTTCTATTTGTAACGCTGAGCGCTTTTTACGTTTGGTTGTATAAATGTTCCGCCGATGAGATATGTGCAGTAGTGCTATATTTAAAATTGGCGCAAGCTCTTGTGAAAGCTTGCAAATTTTTTAAATTAAGAAACATTCGTCAAAAAATTTGTAAGTATTCGGAGTCGTATTAAATATGGTATATATAAATTGAAATTACAAAGTTTTAGGAGGGTTGACATTTAGTACTAATGCAAAAATTTGTAAAAATTCAACACGAGTTCAACGCTTGCAAATAAATAATAATATCTCTATGACGAGGGAGATATGAGCCGATAACCCACGGATCGTAGCCAGGAAGCAATTTTTGTGCCAGACTTAACCGGCAGCTCTCTCTAAGTCTAGATGATAACCCCCCCCGCGGATATCTCTCAATACCAGTGACACCCACTTAAAAAAACAGTAAATTTGTATGGAGATATCCAGTATTATTATGTAATTAGTAACAAGCACGGTTATAAGAAGGTAGAGCAGTTCGTAAAGAATACACTGCAAAATTTAAAAATTGACATGCCTTTAAAGCCACTGTCTGACAGATTATGCTAATCTACTGATATAGAAATTTAAGCTAGTATTTCCAATAATATGGATCTGACCATGTCATGAAAGTTATGGGGAAAATGTAGCTGGAGGCTGTAAAATTTATAATTTTTTAGAAAGCTAGTTTACTAAGGCTCTAATTAAAAAATTTAATTATGAATAGAAAGGCAGTGTAAGTAAGAAGAAAATTGTAAAATTGTAAATTTAATTCTCAAATTAAGTATATGTATGTCCAACTTTTTTTAATACATATTTTTATAATTTTCAAAAAGTCTAGAAAAATAAAAAATTGACCTAAGACTGCGTTTAAAAGTAGTAAAACCTTTTAAATAAAACAACGAGTTTTTCAAATACTATACGTTTTGACCATGTAAAGGCTGTTTCTCCATATGAGCGTTATTTATATAGCTGACCAACTGTTTTCTTATAAGCTTTATTTACTAGGTGACCTATAATAAATAGATAAAAATTTTTACTTGTTTATGACTGTCTTTTAGTATTTTTAATTGTATAATATACACAGAGTAGTAAATAAAAGTTATTGTTGAGTGGAAAACATCCCTGGGGAGTTGTTTACAAAGTTAAAGTACCTGAGTCTTTAACTAAACTCTAGATATTACAAGTTAGTGCATTTAATATATTTAAGCCGACTATATAAATTTAATTTAAGCACTAAAGCAACTTCTTTCTACCCTTGGCGCTGTTCACAACAGACCAAAAAACGAAAAAAAATTAAATGCTAAAATGCTCGAGTGCCAGTGAAGTACCTACCTTAACCCTAGTTACAGCGGAGATATAGAAATTTTGCTTGAAAACAATATTTATTTCTGTTAATTCCTTGTATACCCTTTTCGTAATTAAAATATTGTCTTTCCCATTAATACAGTTTAAGAGAGGTACCTAATAAGACTTATGGAATAATTACACGTATAAATATCCTTGTAACAAGACTCTCTTTTGACAATATCGCTCGGGTGTAAAGTAAACAACTCAGGAAATATACCTTTTGATCATTTCATTATTTTTTGTCAATTAAGGCACTACTATTTAATCGCAATGACTACACGAAGTGGGGCCTACAAATAAATAAATAAAAATTGACAAAAGGAGGGTTGTCTTCGGTTAATAGACCACTTTGGTGGTTTTCCGTTCGGATAACTTTTCTGGTTAGTTATTTACGCTAACAAGTTGCTGCATTCATGATGGTAGCACCTAGCCGTGTGTATCACTTTCTTTACCAGTTTTAGCTTGCTGCATACTACTTACCTGCTGGCCAGCGAGCTCACGATTTAAGACAACGCCGTACTGTCGCCTACCTGACGCGCTTTGAGGCCTTAGCTACTCCTGTTGAGAGTTCAAGCGTACGAAGCTTGTTAGCTCAACCAGAAACTATGAAAAGCTTTTTAAATGAATGAACAAAAGTATTTTTGCTAGTAGAACTATTTTTGTATCTTTTTTAAAGAAGCATGTAACTTCGTATATTACTCATCGTATTAATAAAACCGTGTTCATTATAATAGTACAATTGTTCTAAAAATCTTGCTAACTCTAAAATTTCGCCAAGATTTGTAAAATAAATCCCCCTACCCCCTCACTAGAAACTGATCAAACGCGACGCGTATATTTTTAATTATTCGAACTTTCTCAGTACTGCAAGTTAAAGTTGCTGCATACTCTTGAGAAATACTAGTATTCAAGCCATTTTTAATACTTTCTAATATTTAAATATAACATTCTATTACTTATTCAGAATAACTATATTTTAGGTCTACTATTATGTATACCTCATGTGACTAGCTTACTCTGGTTGTTCCAATCATACCTCGTAGGACGGTTTTTCTCTTAAATAAAAATTTACTTAGAAGTTAGCAATTTAGAACAATAAAATTTTAGTTTTTATGAAGCCTTCAAAATTATTTTTAAGAATATCACAATAAAATCTGTCATAAAAGTTTTTTTTTGAAATACTTTTTACAAATGATCCGAAACATACTATTGATAACCAAACAATAAGAGTGGGCTAATTGTGCCCCATAACAGTCGGTGAATAACCGCAGATTAACCATCCGTTGCCGTAACAACGCTTGGACTCTTAAAGGTCTATTCCTGGCCTTCATACTCGTTGACTCTCTCCTCGAGTAAAGCTATTTCCAACTTTTCAAAAAAGTGCACATTACAAAAGCTTAGATCAGAGCTTATAACTAATTTGACATACCATTATTATTTTTTTAAAATTTTAACTTTTTTAGCTTAATATGAAAATTAAAGAGTTAAATCGAACTTCTCATGTAGCGTGGAGCGCTCCAGAGGTTGATACTGTACTTTTAGCTGCAGGTTCTTCATTATCTAAACACACTGGATGGAATCTTTAATAAGTTTTTTTAGGAACAAGTGCCCAACAGGTGGATTTATCTTTTAATACCAAAGCTGAATTGGAAATTTTTGATCCTAACACCAGAGATAACGAGCCACTAGGAAAAGTTGAAACGTCCGAAAGGTAGACTATATTTGCTTTGTTTTGATCATATAGATTTCAATAATCCTTTACAGGTTTCATTGCTTAGCGTGGGGATCTTTTGGTGTTAGTAACGGCAATAGCACCAAGGGAATAATAGCTGGTGTTATATGATATTTCTCTACCTATATTCTTTTCATGATTGTAAATATTTCGCTAAAAATTCACACTTTATTTTGGGAAATAGGTAATTATATTCGTCATAACGTATAATCTTGTATATAGGCGGGCTTGACAATGGCGCCATTTGCTTGTGGGATCCAAACCGTATAATAAAGTACTTTTTCTCTTTTCAACTCTTTAATTTTTACGTTATCGGTGTTTTTTTTAGCGGTGACTCTGCTTTAATATTCGAAAGCAAAAAGCATGTGGGCCCTGTACGCTCCGTTCAGTTCAATCCTTTTCAAGCACACGGCCTGGCCTCTGGTTGGTTATGTTATACTGGAGGAACTTAGTTTTATACGAGCGTCCTTACTATTTAAGATGTTTTTTAGTGCTTGTTGTACAAGTACGGTTGAAACTTTTTTCTTTGAGTGACGTAACTCTTCAACTTTGCCTTCCCATTGGGCTTTACTTTTCTTGCGGTTAAGCAAACAGTGCATTGAATTCTTTTTTTACATTAGGTGGAAGGAACTGCGACATATTCGTATGGAACGTGGAAAAGGGGGAGCCTAGGCAACTCCTACCCAAACCAACACAAGTAAGCACAACTCTGCTTACCTTTTCTTTGGAAATGAAAGATACTGACGCCCGCCTCTGCTAGGCCGAGGTCAACAGCATCGCGTGGAACAAGCATTGCTCGTATATTCTGGGAAGTTGTGGGGGCGACGGCGTCACATATATATGGGACCTGCGCGCTTCCAAGACTATTTTTAGACTGAACGAGGCTAGCAACGAGCGGTTTTCTATTTATCTGCTTTTACAGTGCATGAGAAGTACGAGTGTCCTACAGCTACCGGGCGTCTTGTATGGAGTGGAACCCAGAGTCCTATATGAAGCTTGTAACTGCCTTTGAAGATCCGCGGTTCTCGGCTGTTCAGCTGTGGGACTTGCGCAGCTGCCATACCCCTGTCTACGTAACGTGCTTACTGTGGACTCCTTATAATAAAACATATGTAGCCTTCTTTAGACGCTGATGAGCCATCAGAAGGGCGTCCTTTCGTTGGCTTGGTGCCCAAAGGACTCTGATTTGCTAATGGTTTCGAGTATCGACTGCAGGACTGTTGTGTGGAACCCTAACACGAGCGTACACTGTTAAGCATGCATGCGAGAAGCTTTTCTTACGCATTGTAAGTAGCAGAGCTGGTCTGTTGTAGCGGAACTTTCGAACTACAAGAGTCCTGTTTACGACACCAAGGTGCCGTGTTTGACTCTTGTTATCAGTGGCCTGCATGGACTATGTTGACTTTCAGTGGTGTTCCAAAGACCCCAATTTGCTCTGCACGGCGGCCGCACAATCTTTAACCATCCACAATGCCTTTGGTTTCTCGCTAAGCTTGTGTGTGTGTTCTGGTCAATAACTAGTTAACCCCTCATGCAGTGTCAAGAAGTAGCGACTCCAGAGACTCTCAGAGCTCCGTATTCGACTCTGCGCCGGCCGATCTCAGGTTGGAAACCCCTGTTAATCGCCGCATATAATCTGACATGTAACCCATTGCAGTATTGCCAAGGAGCCCAGGTGGCTTGGCCGCCCGTGTGGAGGAATTTTTGGCTTTGCGGGGCGTCTGGTGCGCTTCAGTAAAGGATCAAACAAAGGTTGGCAGAAAGTTAATGGGAATTTGTTTGTTACTTAATTATCATTTTATAATCCCAAGTTTTCATATCGAGTATTGCTACCGATAAGGGGTTAGTACGCCGCTCTGTGGAGCTGAAAGCTTCCTTAACCCAGAATACCACCTCCGCCTACTGCGAGAAAAGAGTTCTTAACTATATTTATTATGCAAGTATTACGCCCAACTTATTTCCAATGCAGTCCTCCGAAACTACCAGTCCTGAAGAAAAGTCGATATGGCTACTAATGAGAAATAACTTTGAGGACAGCAAAAGGGGCGGTTTGATGCAATTATGGGGGGTATGCTGGGATTTAGCGTTGCAGTGTCGGAGTTTTCTTAGTGGTTCTCATAATGGCAGCCGCAGACAGCCCCTCAGAAGGATGTCCACTCGTCGACCACGACCGCCACCTCGTCTCCCCGACCACAGTCATATACCGAAATGGACCCCTCCGAAACATTTTCCTTTGAAAATCTCTCTCTTATTGGTGAGCCGCTCTGGCGCCACTATGAATTTTGCTAACTCCAGTTGGTTTAGAAAACACTCACTCGGATGATGAGGCCACAACTGGCAAGGAAAACCGAGAAGATGCGCCGGGCTCCTTTGCCTTGGACGGTATGGGCTCTGGTACTGGATTATTAACTTTGCCTCTTTCTATATAGTTACGCTCTCTCGTCTACCAGAGCTAGATAACGACATTGCGCAGTCGGTTCTCTCGGGTAGGCTGCCGGACGCTGTGAAGCTCTGCCTCAACAATGACAGACTGGTCTCTACTCTTTTAAAGCAGGAGACTTCAAGTTTACTTTATATTTGCAGAGCGATGCTTTGTTGGTTGCTACATTTGGCTCTTCCCAGCTGCTAAAAAGCACGCAAATGGAGTATTTGCGGAAATCCAACTCCAAACTCAACCATGTATCTCCTTTTGGCGTGGGTCCTGTAAAAGTCTATCACTAGTCGTTTAGCTACTTCGCATCTTTGTGGACTCGGACTGGAAAATGGTGGTCTCCTCGATCGAGCTTTCGCAGTGGAAGGAAATCTTCGCATTCATATGCACATATCCAGACGAAACCGAGTTTACTTCTCTCTTTGGTTCACGTCTCTTATTATTTCATCTGTTTTACTGAGGCTATCATTGTAGACATTCTGGGCGATCGTTTTGAACACGCGCAAAACGCCGAATACAGCTTCCAAGCGCTTCTCTGTTATGTATGTTCGAAGAACGTCTGCAAGTTTTCCGCGGCTTGGTATTTACTCTTAGACGCTGTTGCGTTTAAGAGTCAGCTCTTTTCGTTTAGGAACAAAGTAAGACCACTTAATGGCGAAAGCCTTTACGATTTTGTGGAACTCGCACTGATGTTGTCCGAGTCAGCCGGCGAGCCGTACATTTACGACACTTTCTTGTGTCAGAAGATTCGGTACGCCACTTTCTAGCCGCTTCGCTTTTTTTAGTGATGATATTTTTTTAAGGGAGTACTGCGAACTAGTCACCGCGCAGGGCTGTGTAGACACGGCTCAGTACTTTCTAGAGAAGCTCTCTTCTAATGATGTGCGTATTCTTTTGCTGCTCTCCCCCCTCCCCTGCACCTTCTCTTCACGCACGTTAGCTGCATGTTGCCATTTTGAGGGATCGAGTGTACAAGTTGAGACCTGACGGGACACAGAGGGACTTTCCCTTTGAAGCATTGGAGGTTCCCCTGCCTTCGGCTCCCCGCGAAAAGTACTCTTTTTTCCACGTTGCTGATACTTGTCTTCGACTCTCGTGCAGCGGAGACGCCGCGGACTCTGCCTCCTGGGACCCTGTTGAGCGGCAGGGTGGGGGTAATGGCCCAACGATGCCCTCGCTGGACACACGCGAGACCTTTCCACTGCAGCAGCCATACCATCACCAATCCCGCTACCCGCCTTCTGGTCCTCAACACCCGTTATATGCTCAATACCAACCACCAATCCCCCACCAACCCTATCAACAGCCGCCGCCCCAGCACCATACGGCTTTTCCTCCCACAGACCCACCACATCCGGAGGGGGGTATCTATTTTCTGGTTTTCTGTTTATTAATGGCAACGTGACTCTCGCCAAGCAGCTAATTTTCTGGGGGCCTATCCGCAAAGTGTAGCTCCTCTAGTAGCCCCGCCCGTAAGTGAACAGCCCGCTTACATCCAGCCAAGAGTGGCTCCGCCCTCCTTTCCACCAAGTAATAAGCCGTCCCTCTGGGAACCACCAAGACCAGTCACCCCAGCGAGCCTCATAGGGGGACAGCAGAATGCTCTTAGTTATCTGCCCAATCAGCATCTTCCCCTGTCTTCCTACGGGACTTCTGTGCGCCCCCCGAATCTGGCTAATGAAATGGCCGTTAGACCTCTGAAGAAGGTAGGCCCGTGCAAGGACTGTTCGCACACTGCTAACTGTTCAACGTCTGTTTCCCTATTACCGCGCAGACTACCCCTACCGCCAACGCCAATGTTTACGAGCACATGGGCACCGGCCTTGCCCCGACCGTTGGCATTCTGACGCCCAACCCACCAGGGTCAGCGCAACCTGTATCTCAGCAGCGGTACTACTCGGCAGGTTTTCAGTTTATTATTTCCTCTTGACTTTCTCCTAGGCGGATAACGCTTATTGTTGGTCTTTTTTGTAGTCAATGGAGTTTCCCAGCAGCAAAATTTTGTTGACCCGAGTTTTCAGTTCAGTAGCCTCCCATCGAAGGCCCAGAATACCGTTCACTCTTTGCCAAGCAACATGGTTTTTTTTATTAGTTCTTGTAGAAAGTTTGAACTGTAAAGTTATCTGGGGCCATTAAATAATTTATGCGTAGCCCGCTGCACCAGAGCCCCCTCAAGAGTCTTCTCTTAATAAACCACCTATTCCCGAAAAATATACAGCAATTGTTTCTTCTTTAAACGATGCCATTACTCGCTGCTCAAAAGTTCAAAATTCGGTATATTGTTTTCTTTTATACGGGTATGAAAGTTTTTACTGTTTTCCATAATCACCGAGATCGTCAAAAAAAAACTTGACGAAGTCAGACGAAAGTTAGAAGACCTGTTCGACTCTCTCAGAGAAGATAATGTTCGACCTGAAGTGCTCCAGTCTCTGAACGAGTACTGCACTGGTAGTGCTTACTTTCTTATAACGGACGTCATTATTTTTTACACGCGCCCTTCACAGCACTTAGCGAACGCAACTATTTACTATGCCACAAGGCCTACACGTTTATGGCAACTACTCCAAACTCTTCCAGTATATCGCACTGGTTAACTTCCCTCCGAGCGTTGACCCAGTTGCTTGTAAGCAACCGTCTTTAAGATGCTAAATAGGCAGTGTCACTTCAATAAAGCTCTTTTGCCTATATTTTATTGCATTTTCTGTAAACATTGGAGTTAGCCTTTCATCTTAATTCTTTTACAGACCAATTTTTGTAAGCATGGCCTCCCTGATTCATTGCATTTTTTGACACGGAGTTAAGCTCAAAACGCAAATTTTTTTTATAAAACGTAGTAAACATATATAACTTATTGAAATGTGACTCGTACAGGATAGTGTTTGCTACTTATCTATTAGCATGAGTACTGGATTCAACAGAATATATGTCGCTTTTCTTGCAAAATAATTTTCCCCCAGGGTTTTATATCGCTATTACCAAAAACTGGGAGCTGCATAAAAAGTAGAGTAATTTTCATAGTCTTCAATGTTATAATATTATGAGCCACAGGCTATGACTGACTGTCTTGCCAAAGACCTGAAAAGAAGTAGTATGTACCTTATTGAATTTGTGGTTTTTACACAACTAAAAAGGTGTAAGTAAAAACACTATTAGCCTAACGTGACAAGCGAATATTTCACAAAGCAGCCAATGGGCCAAAGAAGAGCGCACCGTTGTGGAAAGAGAGAAATTTAGTTTACAATCTTATTATGTAAGCATGTAGTTTAAGACTGTCAAGATAAGAAAAAGAGCATAATTCGTCAAAAATGTTCCACAATCCAGTGTGAGGGGAATAAGCCTGCAGAAAGATTTGCCAAAAACCAAAGCGAAAATGAATAAGAGACGATATTATTTTAAAAAAGAGTCTGTTAAAAAAGAAGCATTAAGTAAAAATGAGTTACTAAAGGTTAACAATGGATACAGGAAACCTAACAAATAATTAATATAGGGACGTTAAGTGCAGGTTACAATTGGTTAATATAACCAAGCCAGAACTAGTATTCTAAAACCTTTAAGAACGTAAATTAATAGTGACAAAAAAAAACTTCACCGTTAACAAAGAATGAGAAGAAGCAGTTTAAAAAACCGCCTTGCATTTATGGCAAGGAAGAAACTGCCGAAATCCCACGTTTTCTAATAATAATAGCACTGATTTTCAAGTAGTAATTTTATTAGATGTTATAGAGAATATAAGAAAAAAAGTAGATTACAAATATGCTCTAATCTAACCTCTGCACACCAAAAAACAGAAAGGATAGCATAAAACCTTTATAGACACACAAATATGATCACAGAAGCTCTATAAGATTTTTGGGATGTAAGGATATATATGACCTAACACTGCAAACAGTCGCGTACTGAATGTAATAAGAAAGGGCGCAGAGCAACATCGTGGAGACGTTGCGGATGCCATGGCATTAACTGTTACGATAGCGCATATACCTCGAACATCTAATTTTCTTGTACCCTGGGGTCAACTCTTCTCTTAGATAAAAGGCTTCGGCCCGGTAATAATTCTTGTTATATTCTTTATAGTGAGCAAGTCTTGCTTCTCTTTTATGAGGTTGGTTCTAAGATTAACCTTCTTGTTTTCTAAGTTTCTTTTTAAGTTTAATTAGCTAATTCTTTTTCTTTTTCATATATTATAATTTCGTTTATAATAAAATGTACTTAATAACCTTTTTCACTTTTATTCTTTTATTTTTTCATTTGTATTTGGCGCGCTTTATTATATTCACAGGTTAATTTTGCTTATTTTGCCTAATAGTGAGATATAGAAATAGCATGTAAAAGTAAGCACCGAGCTACTAAAGTTTACAACCTAATACAGTGACCAAGAAACCCCCATCACCAAAGAAATGGAATACTCTAATCGGAGAAACATTGCCCTCTCACCAAAAAGGTCGAGAAACATACGCTTATCCTTACAGTATTAACCCCAAATCACGCATGTAAATGATCTACCCACTAACTTTAACTGGGTTTTGAATAGCCCCACGGAATAATGTACATATTTTTCAAAAAAAAAAGTGATCTTTAAGCGATCTTTAATTCGTTTTGTGGGAACAACATACCCATTAGATGTTTTAGAAAAAATAGTATCCGTGCTCATTGCATACATGTGCTGAACACTTAACACAAGCAGCCTTTGGTTTTTCAATCTAAAGATGGTTTAAATAAAGCACAGCAAGTTTGTCTCCGGAGTTTATGGGATCGGGTATTCACTGGGGTGAATTATTTTGTCTTTCTCTTTGCTCGCCACTTAGACTTTTCTGAATTGCAGATTTCACCTCCTTCATTAGTGGCTTAATCAATATTCTTTTTATATAAGGTTTGGCTTATTGAAATACAAGTTCAAAGAGATAATTCCTTCTGACACATATCTTGGTTCTTTATCGGCAAAAAATCAATTAATTGATTCCTGCTTTATATGACATGCTATGATAATATCTTAAAGGCCATAGTCGAGTGTGGCGGTAAACAGAATATGTAAATCCCATCTGTTTAAAAGTATCAACACCTTAGAAATTTATTATCTTAGGTTTCTTATTAGCTTCGTTAATGCTTTTTTGGGAATGCTTAGTATAAAAGGAACTATATTTTGGTTGTGATCAAGTCATATTGGGATGGAATAACCGGCTTACTTTTATCAGAAAGAAAGCTTTGAGGGATCTACCTTCTATATTTTCTTAGAGTCCCAAACAATCGTAAACTTGTCGTTATCGAGCTAAGTTCCGCGAATGGGATAAAAGTAAACCTAATATTCATAATTATTCCAATTAGTACCATGAAAAGATTGAAACAACGTTTAAGTAATATACAGGAAGTTGACCTTGAGTAGGACGAGCTTCTTTTCTAATGTAAGGTACAGCACTTACTATTTATAAGGAACGGGAACACAAATGATAATTACTTTTATACCGCATTTGCCCGGCTTTGTTGCGGTATAAATACGAAAGGACATTTTATCACGAAAACCCAGTAGTTGTTCACTTGAAGTACAATATTCATTAAGTCATCGTACGTTAAAAAAAAAGGAAGCAAATTTATCTCGAGGGCCCCCACTTGTCCTGTTGGCGAAGATAAAACATGTTTTTTGGGCAAAATGTGCTAGTCATAAAGTATTATTATGTTCTCGGGTTCAAAAGCTGCCCACAATTCACAGTACTAAGGGTGTCAATCCTTCCAGCAGCTGGCAAAGTAGGCGAAACCAATAAGAGCAATAATTTCTAAGTTATTTGTTGTGGTTAACTTATGTCAACAAATAGCAATCTCCAACTGTTTATTTCCGTCATAACATTTCGCGCGGTTCCTCTTGTGTCAGGAATACAACAGATGTTTATTTTTCATTTTATAGAGTAAAGTACCAAAAGAAATAGAAGGCGAATTATCAACAGTTTTTTTTCAGAATGGTTTTTTTGTTGTTAGGTTTTGAATACTCAGGTACATTTTTTTTCGTAAACAGATGCAAATATACCGTTTTCAAGGTCAGAACGAACAGAAACATGATCTTTTGTAGTCATAATGACCTTCGTCAGAATCATATTACTTTTTTTCTTTTAACCAATCTCGTTAAAACTAGATTGTATAGGATAACGTCGAGAGTAAAAGACGGCCATAAAATCACAAACCTCCGAAGTTTGGATCTCTAGCCTCCTTGACTTTCTTATACGTTTGAGATCATGGCTTACCAACTATAAATTATCTATCTACTTTAACACCAAAAACATAAATAGCATACAGTAATACTAATTAATGTTCTTTTAATACAGCAAAACTTATTCTACGACCACATTTAATAGGGTTACCCGTCAACTTAAAAGCAAATAATGGTTAATTAAAATTAGCATTAGATAACTGACAGATTGTTATTGTAGAACATAACCTTCTGTAAGGTTTCGAAAGCGCACAGAGGAAATGACAACTTAGAAAGTGTCAGGATTACGCGTAACCCCGGTTAGTATTCTAGGGTTGATAACGGCTAGCCACGTGGGTTTTTTTCGTTGGCTGTTGTTTAAGATTTCTTATCTCCTTTGAAATAGTTGGTAAAGGGCTTTAGAATTATTAAGTTACTTTTGAAAGAGATATAAATTGGACGTTAAGAGGGAATACAAATTGATGAAGTTTCCTTTGTCCTTAAAAGAAGAGTATTTAAGAAGTTGTCACCCAATCTTTTTTTTTAACATTTCGAAACTAACCTTAAGATAGGACCAGTGTCACGTACTCTCCCAAGATAACGTAGGACAACACGACGTTCTGACGAAAGCTAGTGTACTACTATGGTATTTGAGGAAACACATATACTTTTCCAACTATAATACATCAGTGCTGCTGGAATATGAGATAGGTGTTTAAGTGAATTTAATTTTTCTTTTCGGTCATACACCTTTTTTTTCCAATGTTTTGTATTTATTTACAGTCCTCTTGACTTTAAATACAATGAGTTTTGGCAACCGCTCAGAAAGTACGAGATACTGAATATCCCCTCGCTCCTTATTATTTTTGTCTTTGTTAACTGGCACAAAAAACGCTTTAGCTTTTTAAAAACCATAAATAACAACTTTCCAACCTAAAATGAATTAAATTTAAAGTTGCGTCAACATTTTTAGGTTAGATAAGACGCACCAAACCAACGATGATATCCGCTAACAATATATGTCCGTTTATGTGGAGCCAACATTACTGCGTTTATTTTCTATTAAAAGTTTTACAGTTCACAACGATGCCAGAAGGTGTGTTTGCCGTTTGAATATCGCATATGAGTTCCAAGTTTGCGCTGCTGGATTATTTTCTTAATTCTTGTTTAAAAACACGAAACGGAGAGAGTGTCTTATACACAAGGATAACATTTACTGGATTATTCATTACCCTCAGTAGATTGCAGGTTTTAAAATTTTTCTATTAGATAAAGACTAATGTGTACTTTAATGTGTATTAATTCTTGTGTCCTCTCCCCCCCGAATTTATGGTAACTTGATTCCGTAGAAGCAGTTTATTTTCGGTGACTAAAATAACTTTTTAAAAGAGGTTCATAAGTGTGTGGGGCGTTTTTTTTTAGTAATGAATTGTGCACACTGCTTAATCTCGCAAATAAATTAATATTAGATTA